CAATCCACAATTGCTTCTTCCTTTGTTGGCGCGGGAGGTACGCATTCCTCTAAATAACTTTGGCGTTTCGCGGCTATTCGAGATCAAGTGCTGCTCAAATCGAACAGAAACCGGAACCCAAAATAGGACAAAATAGGAAAAACCAAAAACCACATCGGGTACCAAAACCGAAAAACCGCTAGTATTTTTCACGAAAACCGAAAACCAGATGCTAAAAAATGAAAAATCCGCAAACCGCAATGACCACCAAAACCGAAAAACCGAAGTCTTTTGCAACAAAAACCGAAAAACCGATCTAAAAAATAGCCAAAACCGCAAAACCGAAAATCCCAATGCCCCCCTCCTATAGCTACACAGGAGTTTGTTTCCCGCAATGAGAACCGGGAGAGAAACTTCAGCACTGCAGGCAACTTCAAAAAGTAGCAACTTTAGGAAGGTTTATTTAGAATATGAGGTATATTGGATAGTATAACAGCTGAGGATGTTTATGTTATATTTGTTGAGCTGGTAAATAAGATGGTACGCAAATGCAAGATAATGGCGAAACACCAACCTGAATGTTTCCTTGTATTGGCCAAAGTTTATATAGCCCCGACCACTTTAAAAAGGTCCGGCTCCGCGGTCCGTGTGTTAAAAAAACCGTACTTGCACCTGCCATACTCCGCAGACTGGCTGAAAAGTGGATTTTTCTCAAAAAGCTTGGTACTTTGCTTAAATAAATCAATAATTACGGCAATTATGCACCAAGATGGATTATTATTATCAAGAGAGAAAAATATTATCACCCTGAATTTCACACTTCAGATCGAGTCTTGACCTTTCAGGTATGTTGCTTTAAAGTTTAATAAAGTATATGTTCACGTTCACTTACTTGATCTAGATTAAAATGGTCAGGTGCGAATCAAGGTCACGAAAACAAAAAAATTCATCAACATACAAGGCGTCTAGCGCATTCTTAATATTGTAATACAATATCTTCCGACCGCAAAAGAATAAAAGAGAACATCTGCGTTTGCACGAACTTAAAAAAGGGGACTGAACCAAGGTCACGAAAACAAAACTCACATTAACATGCGAGACGCAGAATATCAAGAAGACATGAGCGATTGCACGAACCAAATAAACAAAGCTGTTCTTCTTGGGTACCTTGTGTCGGTATACCTTTTTGCGCCTTGGCTGATGACACAGGCACAGTGAATACAGAGTTTGCACAGTTTGGTCTAACAAAGAAAGTTTATAAGTAAACACCTACATAACTAAGCAAAAAATACCTTTTCGTGTCGATTTTTAATTATAGTAGCGCCCTTGTTTTTGCTGACTATATTGTGGAACGGTCTGGCTTGGAAGTGACCCGATGATATTAACCAAACAATCGAAAAACACTCCATTTGGTGTTAACTTAAACTGATTAAAATTAAAACTTAAGACATAGTGTATTTAAGACTTCGAAACTTGAAGGGAACTTAATTATGAGCTTAAGCTTCAAGTTTATTTCGCTGAAAACAAAAACTCAATATGGAAAGCCTCTAACTATAACCTTACGATACAAGCAATCAGCTGGTGTATGTGATATGAGAGACGAAAAAAAAAAACAATAAAACTTACCTTTCAGATGTTCGTGAACAGTATGTTTTATGCTGAATGAACAGGGGCGTGCAACGCGACCACTTATGTCTGATCCCTGTCTGCGCTGATGTAATACGGTACTCGAGCTTGGAACCCGAGCCTTGTGGCGTTCAGAGGGGGGAGAAAGGGTAGCCTTGGGTGTGGCTGCTGGTTGGGTGCTAGTCTGCTAGACGGTGCCAATTCAAACTGAGGATACCGTTACACGGTACAAATCTTTTGATATCAGAGAAATATTACCTGGGTAATTACCTTCCAATTAACTAAAAATTTTTGATAGCTTGACGAAGGTGGGGTGGGAGTAGCGTCCTATGCACTTGCCATTGTTGGGGCTTTGACACAGGTTCTCCAAATAACGTCTGCGTGAGTTCTAGACTAAGAAAACAGACGACATTTGGCGACGCCACCACTGGTTCATTTCGCGATGAAACCAGTGGCGGCATGGCAAGTGATATCATTTTATCCGTGCAGTTTTTGCGAGCTTTATTATTCATTTAAAATATTTTAGCCTGCGTAGCAGGCGTCGAAAGGGGTCGGGATAGGGAAAAAGGGAAAAAGGGAGGGGGTAGGGGAGGGGGGGGCTTTCGTGCTTTTCTCCCTCCCCCTCTCCCTCCCTTTTTTGTGCCTGCACGCAGGCTAGGCTAAAAATATTTCGCCTTTTAAGGTGGCTCCGTAATTAATACAAGAGTATTTAGCTGTGACAAATGTTCCGTCATAACTTTTTCGATTTTAACGCGATGACTGCGAAACTTTGCAAAGAACAACATATATCATTCGGCAATAATACGAAATATTCCGATTTCATTGATGGCAAATATTTCTTGAGAAATTAGCGCTTAAAAGGACCCTAATGTTCAAAGAAAATCGCGTCTAGTAAAAAATTTTGCTGATATTTTTTACGTAATATATCAAACATGAGACGCAGTGTTTCATCACCAGATGAAACACCGAGAAGAGAGTTGAAAATACGACGCGCAGCGGAGTATTTTTGACGAACTTCGATGTGTTTCATCTGGTGATGAAACACTGCGTCGAATGTTTGATATTTCTTCTCAAACAAAATCATTTTTGAAGGAGAAATTAAGGATGCAAATACTGAGCAGTTTTTCATCCGATTTCCAAACACTCATTAAACATTAATTTTCTTTGTATTTTCTTCATGAATTATTAACGAGTTTGAGAATGAAATTTCTGGTATCGGCTTTAATTGATATAATAAATATGCCAGAGGAATTTCAGAAAAATCGTTGGAGCAGAAGTCCGTAACTAAAAGTCGCTCAAAATTCAGCTGCGAAATTGTTTTGGAATTTCAAAAATAAATTACTATCAGGAAGAAGGAGACACCAGTTTGAATTTTCGGGACAAGTAAATTCAGTGTTTGCTAATTCTGAAAACAAAAGCCGATTGCCTATCGTGCTATTCTTTAAAAGGTACTTTTCAGTTTTAGAAGCACTATAAATTGCTCCAAACCTTGCTCTGAAGTAGAATGACTTGTTCCTCGACATTTTTAAAATATCCCTTGGCAGTTTTGGTTCAAACTCCTGCTACATACATTTTGATGTATTGCAATTCATTTTCAACGACTTTTACTGCTGTTCGTTGCTTAAAAATCCTTCTCCATGATCTTTCACTCACGTTTTTAAAAAGATTGAAACTACTATGAGGAGGAATTGCAGGTCAAAAGCGCTTCGTTTTCTTCAGATTACGACTAAACATCAAGATTTTCCTTTTTTACCTTATTTCTAACAATAAAAACTTCATCCCAAAATATTTCGGTAACGCTCTAACAGTTCCGTTTTAACTTCACGAACATCGAAGCGACTATTGGAGGAAAGAGCTCCCCTGAACGATTTCCCAGTGAGAAATATTGCTGCAAGTATAATAGGTAATGGCGTCATTTCGTTGCTATGACATTTCGTTGCTATGTCATTGCAACCCTGATCATGACAAATTTCTCTCTTTATCTAATACAACTGTGGTGGCAATTTTTTCCAAATGCTTGTTTGTGGCGACGTAGTTTATGCTCAAACTTGGCAGGTATTAACTCTGAAAAACTGTATCGAGCCACTTTCATATGCCAGTACGGCCTATGTTGTTGCATGGCCCTAGTTTCCTTTCGACTGTTTTGTAAAAATTTGGGCAACTTGCAAGAATTTTTGGGCAAATGGATTACCGCCCCCCCTGGCAAAAAATTGCCCGTACGCCTATGATGGCACGTCTTTTCAATCAACGCCGAAAATAAATCGTATGCTCATCACAAGACTCATTTGCAGACAGTGAAAGTTTACAACACCCGATCATCGCAATTTTGCTAATTCAGATTATTTTTTTTCGACCACTCAGTAGTGTTCACTGGCTCCAAAGTAATCAACGCTTTCACACGATAGAATTCGTGGACCGACACGTTTCCGAAAAGCTCTAAATTTAATCTTTCCTAAGCTTTCACGCGTGCATGCGCAAGGTGCGTGGCGTCGATCACGCCACGATTCTTAGTCCCAGTTTCCACGGTGTCCGCAAGGAACGCCTGGCATAATAACCCGCCATTTCTGACCCAGAAACGACAAAAATGCCCGGGCGGGGGGGTACTTCCAGAAAAATTGGGTGGGGATGTGCGGCACGCTTCCTGAAACTCTTACCCTATTTCAGACCAAAGTCTGTGATTTTCACACCTGAAGCCCTGGAGCCTGGCACGTGACCGGAGCGCGTGACAAGCTGTTACGGCACGTACACGGTAGTTGGCGCAAACATTAAAAGGGAAATGGTCTTATCGCCAAATGATGAAGAAAAAGCTTATTTCGTCTAAAAAACATACCCAATTCAAGACTAGAGTGAACAAACCATACCCTATTTCAGACCAAAACGGCTGAAAAAAACATACCCCTTGGCGCCGCACATACCCATATAGCCTATATAAGGGACTCCCCCCCCCCCGGGGCGAAAAAAGCGTCGCAGATTATGAGTCTCCCAGCTTACGCAAGCAAGACAAAACAATCAATGATCTGGGAGGCTGTTTTCCACCAAGGCCGATAACATTCTCCTTGATCTGCATAAATACCACGCGCGCTCCGCAAAGTGGTGTTTAGCAAATAACCTCCGTGAGAAGTGAAAACCGCTTCCTCCGCAAAATGCGGAGGAAAAGGGGGAGATCAAGAAGGAAGTAACACTATTCGTAGTCTGGATTACGGATGCTCTCTCGGTAAAAACAACAGTTTTCCATTAAATCTTGAATTTGAAATTTATTTCCACTCTCACTTTCATTAAAAGTACTAGTCCAGTTACTCCGGGAACTTCAATCTTCCCATATATGGGATAATACACAAAATATATAACATCGTTCGTTACGTCTCACACAAACAGTGAAACTGTGCTACATGACTGAGATATGACAAGTGGCAAGAAAGCCTCTTATAGATGGCAATAGGACAGCAGCTTACAGCTGTTTCGGAGAAAATTGTCGAAAAAAAAAGCAAAACGCCTTAAAAGCAAGACCGCAAGGTAATATGGGATTTTTTACGACGCCGCGACCACATGGCGAAGAGCCGCGTGTGACATGGATAAAAGAGGTGTTAGGGTGTGCAGACAATGAGGTACTTGCCTTCATAAGGAACTGTGGAGCGTTATGCAACAAAATTTTCAGGTGATGGCAGAGTTTAATGCTAACATTTCATCGACCATTTTAGTGGAAACTCCCCGGAATTCCTAGGAAAATGGAAATTAAAAAAGTGTTAAAACATTTTTCACGAAAAAAGTCCAAATTAAAAAATTCAAATGCCATCCTTAAACACGCCGTTTCGAGGATTATATTTTGCTGTATTAAAACAATAAACTTGTCTATATTGTTGGTATACCACATATTAACAAAAAAAGCCTCTGTATGATGAGTGTTTACAAGCACTGAAGTGACTTTGGGCGGGAGAAGATAGAACATTCTAGTAGAAAAAATGGAGCATTAAAAAGAAAAAGAACATTTAAGTGGGGAACCAAAAGCATAAAGTACAAAAGCCTACCGAGGTAGCTGAAAGGCCTTAAAAAGTGCGGCCATACATGACATGCATCCGCGCAAACTGAACAAACTGACTCCCAAATAACGCTGTCACTAAAAGCAGCTTATGACTTGTATGGTCAACCAGGAAATGAAGATACTTGTGTCCGAAAGTTCAATTAATAGATCAAAGGCTAAACTTATTAAAGTTTACGTGCGTGATTTTGTCTTAACGCAGTTTTAGCTGGCACTAATCCATTTGATGACCGTCGAAAGATTTTAGAATGGCATTGAGTGGAAAGGGATTTGAAAATACCCATACTACTTTGCGATCTTGGCCTAAAGCCTTTTGCTTGTTTCCCATCGTTTATAAAAATAGCTGTATTTCACAAGCAATTTAGTTTCTCACAGCCTGTGCGCCGCTATCAACAGCACAAATAGTGCTGACCACTCTGCAAACGAAACTCAGACTCAAACTAATAAATAAATTGAGCTACACTCAAATTACACCCTAACAAATGCTGTACAAATAAAAATCTGCAACCTTACAAAAATAATCTGGTTAACTATAATTTTAGCTTTTTCCCACAGTCAGGGAAAAAAATGTCCAAAGCCAATGCCCAAATTTTCCCTCGACGAGAAATGAAAATGTCTTTAAAACCTTTTTACATTAAGTATACATTATCAAGAAGCTATTTCTCTTGACTGCTGTCCAAGTGCCTTGCAATAAATGCCTTTGGAGAATTTCGCCTTTGGTCAACTCATGTTTATTCTAACTAACATATGATACGTTTCTTTCATAACCCTTAATTTACGTGCTCAATAAATAAATTTAACTTACGCACAACGCTACTATCTTATAGCTACACGAACAATATTTTGCCAGTGCAAAATTGCTACTGTAAACTTCAAAGTAAGGCTGTTGCGAGACAAGACGCGATAAAACTGCTCCATCCCTTCCTTGACTTGTTACCCAACGTAAGCAAGGTGGCCAGTCTTCATCGTTTTACAAATTGCAATCAGATAGTTTTTATTACGAAAATAAAATGCTATCGTTAAAAAGAGAGATGCTAGTGTTTATAAGATCAACCGTCCCTTCTGAGTTACTGCTGCCATATTGTCTTTAAAAATTGCGTGGCATGGCAAAACCTGTTTCTGTCATAAATAAACTGCACTAAATAATTTACAAAAACTGCCAATCACATTTCTTTTCTCCCCTAACTGTCTCCAGTGGTTATAACTACCACAGTTAGGAGATGCTTAGTCCATGTGAAATTTTTTTTTTGTAAATTTAGCTAATAATAATATCGGAAAAAAAAACCTCACTGCAGTTTCGAAAAACTTTTTTTCTCAAAGATCACCCCATATTTTCAGCCCCAAATGTCCGGCATACTGTATTTTTCTGTCATGATCCAATCATATCGTGAATTTTTTCCTGTACTCTTGGTAATTGCGTCGATGCTTGCTCTATAAAAAGACTTCCCATGATGGAGTAGAGTGTTGTTGTTAATTTACCAACCGAAGCCCGTATGGAGGTGTTATTGCCTCCTGCACTTCCGTTACTTGACAAGCTAAGGAGATTCCACAACAAGGGCAGAACATGTCGTGTTATAACCTGAGGCTTCCGGCTGTACACAGTAGGACAAATACCTAACAGATAAAAACACGGCGAAGAGTTTTCAAAACAAATCATCAGTAATTCACAAGATGAAGGAAATCGCTTTAGCCTGCGAATAGGCGAACGTTTGCTGACGTCATTGTTTACATTTTTCCTCATTAGCATACAACTTCACTCATAGAAGCCGTGGCCGTATATATAAACTAAAATGCAAAAGTTGAAAGAGCTGATTAAGATGAGCAATTTGTGCAATTTTCAGCTCTTTGCAAGCAGTATTGAAGGAAATATCAGTCATCAAAAACTGCGAAATTGCTGGGTGGCAAAAAGGTTAATGTGCCATACATTTTCTGTAAAATTTCGAGTTTTTAGAAGAGAATTTCTCCCAAACCATTCGTGGTATTGGGCTCAAATTTCTAAAGATAACTGACACTGTTATGCCCTTTCAACATTCAGAAATTTTTCTTATTGGCGTCATCAGATAGTGATAAGCATATGTTAATGAGGCAAATAGTGTAAACAAAGATTCGCCTATACGGCCGTCTCTTGTCGCTGCTCTCAGCTAGGGACAACCTAGCGGCGAGGAAACAGAAGAGAGCGCAAGCTAAAATCACTTCGCATATCGGATCTTAATCATCATAAAACTTTGAGAACTTTTAAAAGTTTTGATTTTCTTCAAGAATTATTGCCATTTGAGAAGCTACATACCATCCAACACTCTACCCAGTGTTTCATCAGACATCCAGACACCTCGAAGTCAGTTTAAGCCCGGTTTCCATATGATCGCTACGATCGCTGCGATCGCTGCGATCGCTGAGAAAAGAAAGGTTCAGCGATCGCAGCGATCGTAGCAATCATATGCAAACAGGGCTTTAAACGACTGGTCAGAAAATTGGATGAAACACTGCGTGTCGTATTTGATTTTTTTACGAGAAAAGGCCTTCAGGGTTGAACTGAACTGTTTTACAGCCCTCAGATTTCTTGTAACGTGGTTGCTGCAAGACGTGTGCGTGACATGCTCGTTGCGCTCGCTTATTTGTCACGTCTCTTCCAGTTTATGTTAGATAAAAGATCAGTCAAGGACAGCACAGTATACTCCGACATTTTCTTCACACCAGGAATAGTACGTTTCTAAGGCGGAGGTCCTATTTTTTCTCTTGTTTAGCACTTAAACTATGTAATAAATTGAGAGAAACATTTCATTATAGTTAGATTTCGCAAGTGCAACGGTTATGAAGCCCTTTAGACTCCTTTGTTGTATGTTTTTGTTATCTTTTTTGGAGCTGAACGTGAAAAATGTTCAATAGTTTTCCTATCATTCTGAACTTACTGACCAATAGAAACATCGCATTAATTTATTCAGTCACAATTTGTGAGCCAAAGGATTGTGCACGGTCAAGCAGCCCCCAATATAAACTGCAGCATCGCTGGCTTTTATAACAAGTCTCCTCCACTAAATATGGTTTACAAAGACAAACAGCCAAGGGAACAATAACCATTTTGCAAGTGTGTCAGAAATTTTGGTTCATCCTTTGACACAAAATTAATTTGTGTTTTAGGGACTTCAGAAATTAGCAGGGGGAGGGGGGGGGGTGGAAATTTTAAATTTGGATTTGGAAATGAGGTGACCCATCCTTGCAATGGGAGTGAAATTTGCTAACCCTCCCCTTAACCTTGGCCTAAAACATCATGACCCTCCCCCTCTTGTATAAATGATAAAATCTAGTTCTTGCAATACACTAGGGTGAGTCAGTATTATAAAAGCTCAAAATATATTTCTAACCTGTTCTTTGTAATGCCATATACATACATTTTAGATGACAGCATTAAGAGTTCGACTCTGATTCTGACAGCTGATCACTCGACTCTCCTATTTCTCTCAGGTTTTTTTGAACAAAATAAAGAACTTCCCTTTTCTTCTGTGGGTGAACCTTTACATGGTCATGGGCACATATTTGCATGACCCTCCCCCTTTTAACGGCCCATTTTTCACGACCCATCCCTTTTCTGAGTCTCAAAAAGTTGTGACCCTCCGTTTGTTTCCACCCCCCCCCCCTCCCCTCTGCTAATTTCTGACAAGTCCCTTACCTTTACAAAATAAACATCAACAAGAAAAAGTTTTCATACCTGCTAACTTCTCGATCATGATAGGTTTGACTCTGCCACTTCCGTATTGCGTTGTTGTACAAAATGGTTGAACGAGGAGGCTGTTGTCTATAAACGAGAGCAACGTCAATCAAAACAAAAGTAGCAACTATTTATGGACGAACAAGACCGTGCATATGATTTGTTGGTAAAAGATGTACAAAGAAAAACATAAAATTGAACAATGGATTTGAATGTTAAGTGCTGACTAGCTTCTATCGTCAGATGTTTGAGTTCTATCTACAATCGAAAGTTTAGGGTATACAATACAATACACAGTACCAAAATAATTGCTGCCCGACAGCTGAGCATTCACTCAAAGGAGTTCACCCACACTCAGAAATATGATTTATGACTCCCTGCATCAGTCGTTATGGAAATCAAAGAAGGAAGTTTTAGGCGAGAAATAAGAGCAAAAACACTGTTACCTATATTTTTAATCAGAGCATCTAGGGCTCCCACTGCAGTGGAAAAAATATTTGAGTTCTTGGATGCAAGATTAGACGTCAAGGCGCTCACCAACGGAGGAACAAGGGCCCCTGATTGGTTAGCGAGACAGGGAAGGATCTTGGGAAGGCACTGTAGGGCGTGTAGATTCACCTGAGAAGGAAAAAATTCAAACCTGAATTTTAACGAGCTACGGCGTAGCGCCATTTGCTGTTTTTTGAAAAGCTTAATTGTGCCTTCAAATTAATTGATTTCCATTAAAGTAATGGTCTGGTTTTGTTATTTAACACTATCTTTAAGCATTGAAACTGTTTGCTGTTTTCTGTTGCTACGGATGGCAAGGATGGGCATGAATTGAAGCTTGCAATAATGCTATACCTGTAAAAAAATCACCAAAAAAACTAATATGGTTAGTGCCCCCGACGACATTTGCTTGAGTAAAGGCAGTAAGTAAGCACAGAATTGACCTAAAACAGTAATATCCTCGTGACATCGCCCTTTAACGTGATTTCCTTTGTTTCAATCTTCTCAGCCTCGGAGCCAAGTATGAATTTTATTCGAAACCTTGACCATCGTTCCAGTTATGAATATATGTAATGCACCTATCAATGTAAATCCCGTGAGGGGGGAGTGCGGGCAAGGGGTGGGGATTTGATGCCTGAGACTATCCCCAATGTCGGGCTTTTGATCGTGCGAAGTGACCCCGGGATCGGGAAATTTGACTTTGACCGACAGAAGCCTGGTATCAATTCAGAGGCGGTTACCAAGTCTGTCCCTCGAGGCTTTCTGACAGTCACGCTGTTGGAGAAAGGTATGAAGTTTTCATTTGTTTTAAGCGCCATAATCTGATACTTTAAACGGTCATCTAAACAGATAATGTCTATTTTGTGAAAGTTTTTATCTTTAAGTTCCCATCTGATTGTAAAACTCGATTGAAATTGAATTCCACCATGAAAGTCAGAGGATTTTTTATAGCCTGCGAGCAAGCTCTCCAGGCGAGCGAAGCGTAGTTTGGGCGAGCGAACGCGCGAGCGAGCGGCGAAGCCGCGAGGGGCCGGCGAAAGGACCCCCCCCGCAGTCGCGTCTCCTCTCGCGTGCCTCTCGCGCGTGTACTTTTCACGATATTGCCCAAATGGAGAGCTTGCTCGCAGGCTAGATTTTTTACGGGTCACTGATCCGACCTGTTTCGACCTGTTGAGCAGATGTTATAAAGCATTTTACGTTTCATTAATATTATAATAGCACGGTCAATCTTCCGGGAGTGATTTTGTTGTTCAAAATAAGAGATGCTAGTGGAGAGAGAAAATACTTAATTACAGCGAATAATTTAACGGAGCTTACGTTAACCTTAAATAAACGTAGTTAAGAACGTACTTTTGAAATGTTCTTTTATTCGTTTTGTATAGTATTATAGTATTGTTTGTTTAGATTTTTTCTCCTGGGGTGGGGGCTTTTTTGACACTTTTGATTGACCTTTCGTTTCCCACCCTGGGGAATTTGATCAAAAAAATTTAAAATTTGTCAAATCCCCACCCCTTGCCCGCACTCCCCCCCACGGGGTTTACATTGATAGGTGCATAAGGACGTACCTTGCTGTTAGAATCTTGAAGTCGAGGAACGAATGCATCAAAAACCTGCAAAAATAAAGTTTGCAAGTTTCTATACGATGAAAAGTGCGTTTACTTAGGAACGAAAGCATTCACCTCAATTTTTACCTTTACTGTTTTTTTAGAAAACTTATGGCAATTCCCTTAATTTAAGTATACATATGTATGTACCTTGGTAAATTTAGGTCCCAGTCCATCTGGGTTGAGCTGTAGCAAATCAACAAACTGATCAACAGCGTGCTGCCTTTCCTTCCAGTCGTTCGCTTGTAAAGAGTTGATAATGTTTGGAATCACCTCTTCACCCTAAAAGCAAAAATATCCAGACACCTGTTGGCAAAAACTGAAAATATCAATCACGTGATTTCTCTGCACAGGCCACTCACCTGAATCAGACCGTCACGGGCCACAGATTTACCACTCCGAGACGACTCTCTAGAGCTAAGGAAAAAATACGATATGTCAGGAAATCACAAAGACTAACAAGGAGTTTAACTTAACTGCTATTCAGAGTACCTGGAGTTTGATGACGGAGACATGGCCACAGATCCTCGCATTCCACCACTGCGCGAACCTCCGCCGCCGGATGCGGGCTTCCGCTGCCGGGCGGAAGATGAGAGGTCCGAGGGTGGATCACCAAGACCCTAAGTGCGTAAGAAAGACATGCAATTAGTTTGAGAACCAAAAAGCAATCATGAGAAGCATTACTGACAACTGCCTTTTACAGTGGTGGCCTTGAGAGTCACTAAAAGACTAACAGTAATCAGGAAGGAGATAACATTGAGAGAGAATGAGATTACATTGGGTATAGTTTAAAGAAGGGATGATGTCGCAAAAACTAAACTTGTGAAATTGTTGGATTGGCTAGCACATCCAGAAAAAAACAAGAAAACGCCCCCTTCCTAAAAATCTGCCTATTAGTGCAAGTTGGTGGGGTTAGTATCCAAGCCCATTTTAGAGGGATTTGTATAGAGTCATCAGAGCATAATGGTGCTTATATCTCCTAACAATTCGCACTACATGTAACAGGCTGACTTTTGGCAAGACAGCGCTTTTCATCTTGCTCTTTCTGGATATGCCAATCAATCCTACAACTTCACAAATTCGAATGTTTGTGGCGTCACACTTCCTCTACTCTACTGTATGACAAACGTTACCTTGGTCCTGAGATTTTCGACAGTATCACGCACGTTCTTCTGTAGGTTGGACGGAACATATTTGGTCACGTTTTTGTCGAACTCTGGATGATCGTACATAATGTGAAGAATCTTACGTCCATAGTACCTGAAAATCGAACAAAATGCTGCCACTTCACGCAAACAATTGTAAAAGCTTGTTTTATATTTTAAGAATTGCCTTTGTTTGGCCCAAGGCCAATCTGTGTAAAGTGGCTGGAGAAGTTCCTCAACTATTGGCTTGTTCGATATCAAATGAAATATAATAATGAAATACCCTCCCAAACAAACGTTCTTAGGGCTTCGTCACGAGTGAGGAGGAGCATGTTACGAAGCCCTAAGAACATTAGAGGATAATAGTCCACTGTTTCCAGCAAATGCTTACCGACAAATGCCGGTTCACTCCGGACAGATAGATAGAGCATTTCTTTTAAGTGTGAAGGTATTTAGCCCAAACGGGACTAATTGGAGACACTAATGAAACCATGCTACTAAAATGCTAAAAATCAAAGTCACTAATTAGCTAAAGTACTTAATAAAAATTTAAACTGTTGTCTATTCGATACAAAGTTTGCAGCAGTTACTGTTATTGAAAAGATGTTTTGAAAAGTTGCGTTTTTGTTCCAAAACTAGCTAGAAGGGGATTCTCTTTGATTTTTACTCAGTTTGAACCATAAGAAAGGTCCTATGTTAGCGTGTGGTATTAAAACTGGTGTAGATCTACAAACGTGTTGTGTAAGAAATCAATTCGATGGAGATTAACAGTACAATGGCTTTTATACCGTACCTTGTTTCCGGACCTCCGTCAGTAACAAATTGAGCAGCAGTTGGTAATATTCTCTCAGTAACATCCTTTGCACCACTCATCAAGCGACTTGCTCCCATGCGTTCTGCCAGCAAGCTCAAGAACTGGGCAGTGGTTTTACGAACAGCAACATTACGATGACTATAAGACAACAACATGGAAAGTTAAAAAAAGCGGGGTTGTCACGATGCTCACGGACAGTAATGACCTAATATCGTTTATTACACGATGAAGTGAAGCGACTAAATCACCTGACAAGGTCACTTGCACTAAGAAGTCACGTGACCGATGCTTCCTTTAAACAATGAGTTGGAATCTTGCTGATGACAGAGCACGTAAAAATTATCTTACACCCGAAATTTGAGAGAAAACGCATTTACGGGAGATATTTCATGGCACTTTGTTTTTTCAACAAAGTAGTATGATTTGTATTGACCACCATGTAACTACTTTTTGCTTGCATCTTGGTAAACGTTTGATAGTTACGCTCAGATGTGCTGTAAACGTTATCACATCATCTTTTCAACATTTTCCTTGAAGTTTAAGTGTAAAATTTGTGTTCAGAAAGAGGTAATTCATATTTTTTTTTTTTTAACAAAAATCACGTTTTGGTCACGTGACCAGCTACGAACTTACTCATTTTAAGAAAATGGTGCGGGTTTGAAAAGCCAAATCACTATTATTTTGTCTACGACCCACTAATCGTTTTTCGAAGGGAAAATCACATAACTTTCATTTTCATAAAAATGATGTTACATGACCTCTTAGTACAAATGGCCTATCCTTCGGGATCTGACAAGTGTCCGCTCAATGGAAGCTAGCCACTAAATAGAGGTTCACTATAAACTGGCATAATCGTCAGCGGAAATACTACTTTATTTTGAAACAAACACGCAACTAGCGACATTCCTTCATCACATTTTTAAAATAAAGACAAACTAAGCTGGCCGCTTAATAGAGGTGACAACAATGGAAGAACTCTAGTCGGGACGACCAAAAGGTGGTCGCTTAACATGCGGCTTCTTAATGGAGGTTCAGAAGTAGAAAGTTGTTGCATGTGACCAGCTAAGACACTGTGAGCTCTGTCAGCTACAATCGGCGACAAACTAAGTTGAAACACTTAGCCCTAAGTGGCTTTCTGACGTTTTAGTGACTTCAGATGGGGGAAATAAAGCTTTCCGTCCCCATCCCCTCCATGCAATGTTGTGAAGAAAGTTAGTAACTCTAATGCTTCAAGTATACTGTGTAATAAAACAGAAATCAACAATCTTTTTAAAAAGAAAAAGGACAATGGATACGACATGTGCAGAAGGTTTCAACTTGACATCATCCGATCCTGCAAATCTGAAGTAGGTAGAAATAGTTTAAGGTATAGAGGACCACTAATCTGGAACAGTCACCCCGATGATCTAAAGGAACTTGAAAATGCACAGACCTTCAATCTTAGCCTGCAAAAAGGCCTGGAACATTATTAATAAAATCAACTTCCAGAAAGAGGCTGCCGTCATTATCAACAAAAAGGAAAGATTTTTATACTTTGAGGCTGTATCCTATTATGTTCTAATCTTGTACTTAATTATTCACTTATTTATCATAGAATTATAAAATCTGCATAGGAGCGTTTATATAGGAAGTATGTGTATTTGTAAGCAGAATTTTATTGTATTTTATTGTATTATTTGTATTTGTAAGTAGGATTTTCTGGGTTTTTTTTGGCAAGTCCACATCAGCTTTCTAGCTGTCAAACACTTAACCTGCCTAAAAAATAAATCACGTATATAAGTATGTATGTATGTGCCGAAGGGAGAGGGGCGTGGATTCTTTTGTTCTCTGAAGTTACTCTATTTGAGAACAATGTCTCGACAATTTTACAATTTTCCCCAATTGTAGCTTCAACTGGTCAGCCAAGGAAAATAAACCGGTCAAGAACCCGAAACAAATATAATGTGGTCCACGCCGGTGAAGCGCGGGAAACGCGCGCGACAAATTATCCTTAGTTTCGGTCTACTTCTGATTGGGTCAAAAAGGCGCGTAATTTATTTTAGCCAATCACAAAGCTGTTCGAACCACAACCAAATAAGATGCAAAACTGTTCTTGACGTTGCACTGAAAAGAACAGTTTTTGTATTATAACTTAACAGTGTAATGCCCAACTAAGACTCACAAAATCACAAGGGATTTTAGTTTAAGAACAAACCTTGCCCCTCCGGAAATAAGCGCGACCATCACACGTGTGGGAGTAAGTGAGCTGACCATAGCTGTAAGGGACTTTTCAACATCGTCTCTGATAAATCCACTTGATTCACCGCCTTTTGCTAAAAGAATTTTGGCAGTGACTTCCAGTTCCTGGAAAAAAGGCATCAAACAATGTGAAAGTCATAACGCTATTTCTACGCTATAGCGAAGAAATTATCAATGATCTTGTAGTGGTGATGACGTCATATACGTTGCGAGGTCTAATAACGAAGAAAATAAGCTGGAGATCAAATTACACTGTCTACACTAGCTTATAGCCCGAACACTTATTCTTCTCTAAACACAGTTTAAACTGATCTTAAAAAGTTTTTATAAAGACTGGCAACAAAAGATAATACCACGCAAACATACTGCTGATGAAGTGCTATTTGAATGGAAACAACACTGGAATTTCAAGTTTCATTTCCAGTCAACTATTAGAACTGCAGTTTTTTGTGGCCATAATTAATAATGAGAATGGGAGAGTTAAAAAGACTCATACAAATCATGCGAGCAAGAAGACACCAAATAGGATAGCTCACTTACATTGTCCATGTTTTTTCCGAGTGTCGTGTACATGTCACCAAGGCAGCAAATACCTGAACGAGAAACTTGTGATCGAAGATTCTTCACCTGTTAATCAACAACCAATAATAAAATTTTTGACTAAAAACAGAGAATTGAGGGCTGGTTAGAGACAAAGCTGCAACATCTAATATGGACCCAGAGAGTATACTATAATGGGGCACATCACAGTTATTACATGGCGTACCTCTGCAATGACTGCAAGGGTTACAGCGTGTAGTTGGGAAATCAATACTTCAGGATGATGTTTACAAAGGCGACGAATTCCTTGAATCCCTTCACATTTCATCTCCCTGGTGGTAGCAGAAGAAAAATGTTATATTCTCTTCAATTCGTATCGTACCGTAATCATTTCATTATTCTTTTGCATTTAAATCTGGTAATCTCAGTGACGTTTTATTATCAAAAGCCGTAATTTTCACTAAAAGTAGTACTCACCAATCTTCGGTATTTGCCAAATATTTGAGCGAATCTCGTAACGCATTTTCAGGATTATTAAAAGGTTGTAGCTCTTCCAAACTAACTTCCCAGCACTGTGCGGATGTACTACTACTTCCTGCTGAAGCAACGTAATGTCGCCGGAGCTCTGATGGGTCGTCTGTTACCGCATAACTGGAATCACGTTCAGACTGAGCTCTAAAAAACGAGTGAGTTAAAGATGATAAGCTGACTTTATCTTAAGAAGGTTGCACATGTAACGCACTCCTACCGGACTAATAACCCTGTGGTCCCCAAATTACTGATCAAATTGGAATTTGAAAACTCTGGTTTTCACTCCAAAAATAAACTTAACAAAAGCTGTACTCACGAAGAGACAGGCATTTTCTTCTTCGGCGTTCCACCAGCGGGAGGTTTCCTGTTTGACTTAAGCGAGGAACTGGATCCAGTTACAGACAGGCCTAGAGAAAATAGTTAAAACAACACAGAAGGTATCTTACATAACTGAAATAACTTGACAACTTAAACCGTCATTAACGGTTTTTTTTTTTCAAAAACAACTGTAACAACATATATCAAAGAGAATTATAGTTCGCTGTACCAATATAGTGTTGAGTATTCTTCAGACCATTAACTCAAAGTAGGTTAACTTACCATTCGCTTCTGATTCAGATTTTTGATTCTGTTTCCTCTTGAATTCAGCTTCCTTCTCAGCAAGTTTTCTCTTGATTTCCTCCTCTTGTTCTCTTTCCCTCAGTTCTGCCTCTGCCTTTAGACGCTCAGCTTCTTTCTCTTTTTGCTTCTGCCGCATTCTCTCCTTCATACGTTCCTTCTGACGTTCCTTTTCTCGCTGCTTTTCTTGTTCAATCTCCTCTAGTTCTTGTTGTTGTTTAATCAGCCGATCCCTCAGTGCTTTCTCCTGTTTCTGTAGCTCTTCTTGTAGTTGCTGTTGTTTCTTCCGCTCTGCTTCCCGCTCCTTCTCTTTCTTGTTAAGCATCTTGCCGAGTTCCAACTTTTCCTTCATTATCTTGTGCCTAAGTCGTTCTTCCTCCTCACGCTGCAGCTGCCATTGTTTAGAGCGATCCCTCTCCAGTTCTACTATCCTTTAATATTAATAAAAATACACAGCATCAACATAAAATAAATACCACTGACCCACACCACGATCTCAAATAGTCAATAGTCATAAAGTTGCACCGACGACTGAAGAACACCACAAAACTTTAAAAATTCTTACATTTTAGATAGATTCGAAGTTTAGGGACAATAATACAATACATTAATCAAAGGGAATAACAACAGATGATTTAATGCAAGGAAAAATTGCTCCCCTTCCATAAAGACTGCAAAAAGTACCAAATAGTTTGCATACATTCCAAAGCACTGAATGACCCTCGCATCTGGAGATCCAATTTGTTTTAGGGTGTATTTAATAGTGTGATAACAGTGAATGGTAGGACCCCTTTAACCCCGACAACAGTCACACTCTCCCTTATATTTCATTAGTAACAGATTTTATTAGTAACAGTTAATATTTCTCTGAATTAGCTTTGGCCTAATATGTACCTTACTTATATTCAGAACCAACAACTTCTCGTATAAATGGCAAATGTTTTCGTGACTTAGCTAAGATGAACCTTTAAGGTTCATGCTTTTTGTGTCTTATTTAAAAGGCGTCCTGTTTTCCCCAACCACCTTATCTACACGCGAGGCTCTAGTATAAGCCTACCTGGCCCTAAACCTTGAACTGCTTTTCTACAAATCAGCCAACAGGCAGCTCTACCTCAATGCAAAACACAAAAGAAATAACACAAATAAAACTAAGTTCTTCTTACCTTTCTTGTTCTCGCTGCATCCTTTCTTCCTCTTCTTGTCTCATTCTTTCCATCCTCTCTCGTGTTGATTTAGACAAGCTTTTTCTTGTTGTTTTTGGCGTCATATCACGTTGGTTTGCCATGTGCTCTCTGACTTCAGAATCACTGTCTTCGTCGCTGTCTTCCAAACTATCCGAACTGTCATCTTCACTTTTTATTGTTGATGTTTCTGTTTCAGTAGCTGTCACTGTGGTAGTTGTTGTTTGTGAGGCGTCACTTTCTACCGAGTCTGAAAGTGTTGGGTAAGCAAGCTCCTCTTCACTCTCTGTCCCACTATCACCTTGTTCTGTTTCCTCTTCTGCATCTTCTTCTCTGTCTTCTTTTTCCTCCTCATCACTAGTATCTTTTTCCTCTGCATCATCCTCTCCCTCTTCCTCCTCCGCTTCCTTCTCTTTATTATGGTCGTCATCATCATCATCATCCTCATCATCGTCCTCATCTGTGCTATCATCCAAACCTTCATCTGATTCCTCTGTTTCATACTGCAAATGACTGTTCTCAATACCTACCCCCTTAGAAATTTAACAAAAATAAGACCCCCTTAAGTAACATACACTCTTAATGACCAAGGTTACTGAGGATATTTCATGTGTGCGGTGTCTAAATACTTGCAAGGACAACAGTTTTACTCATCCAAAGTGACTGATCATATTTCCCCAACTTATGCTGCTAATTTTTGTTGGATGAGGAAGATAAACGATACAATTCTAAATTTACAGGGCAAAAACCATTCCACAGTTTCATAGATTTTTAAGGTAAATGATTTCTCCAGGGCTGGATCTCAACAGGGCTTTCAAGAATTCAACTCAAGAATTACAGATATAGAAGAGTCTCAATTTTTCAAACCACCTACAGTCTGTAGGGAGAAGGACACTGCTCCAAATTTACAGGGCCTAGTTGTTCAAAGGCCTATTATTGCACACCGGGGGTTAAATTTTCATCCCACGGCCAGTTTCTTTTTCTTTTGTTCAAAGCATTTCCTTGGATAATTTTTCTGTACTTTTTAGCATATCCAATCATCAAATTGTAGACGAAAAAAACTAAACTGAATTTGCCTTTTCAGCTTTTATATCTGAATTCAAATTTTGCACGACAGTCAAACCTGTGTACAACGGTCACCTTTGGGAAATGGCAAAGTGACCGTTAAATACAAGGTGACCACTACATACAGGTCAACTTTACAGAAAATATAAGGCAACAGAAAATTTTGGGAAGTTGTCCAGTGACCGTAATATACAGGGTGAACCCTATATACAGGGCCATTATATACTGGTTTAGGAAACAAAGCAGAGTGAGAATCAACCTGGTTGAAACCATTTTACCCTGAATTTCATTTTGATCTACAACATAGACAATACTTTGCCATGTGTTTGGAGAATAACATATTCAAAGAGCACAGGGTAGATGTGAAGATAGATAATATACATCAGTCAACACACCCTCAATAACAACAGAATAGAAGTAAAATAAATAACAATATTATTCACCAAAGTGAAGGTGGCTAGTGTTGGGATATTAACCAAGCCACAAAATGGCAAGGGAACTAGCCACCCCTAGCCAGCAACACTGAGGTAAATAATTGTTTTAGTACATACTAAAACAGTCAGATAATTGAGTAAGTGAGCAAAAAAACGATAGTTTTCAACTCATTTACTGCTACCAACGATTACAATTCTGGCACACAAATGACCGAATGGACGTCTGTTTTCTTACTGACACATAAAACTTTTGAAGGGATTCGTTTAGTTATTGTGGGGAAATTTCTTAAAAAGAAGTTATGAATTCTTTTTGTATTTGAAACCATTCTGTAAAAAAACTATTACATCCAGTCTTGAGCTTATTTATGAACATTTCAGCTAAATGAAGTAACCCAAGACTTAATTTGCATTTGTAAACAAGAAATTTTTTCACCGGTTTCATTGATAAATTCAAGTCAAACAGACAAAGCTTTACCTGTTAATGCTTTTAAACCGAATTTCATCACCTTCTTCATGTATTTCAGCAAATGCTTGTTTGATTAATTGTGAAATTTCTTTGTTTGTTACAGAAGCAAACCAGGAAACTATTTTGCTGATAACTTAAACGAGTAGCCAATCAGAGCACACAAAAAACACTGTCCACTGTTTTAGTATATACTAAATATAATTAGCTAACAAAAATGTCATACCTCAAGCTGTTTATCCAGTCTTAGTAATCCTTGGCCGACCACCTCAACCCCCAGCATGTCCTCATCATTTCCTGAAGGGCTGCTACCCACTCTTGAAGTTTTACTTTGTTTGTTGTCATCATCATGAACACCATTCTCCAGTGGAGAAACCTTTACAGGTTTCTGTCCCCCGGCAGGCAAGAGCCCATGTCCTGTAACACCAAGTCCAGGGTTCTCCATGTCTGAAAACTTATTAGGTACAGGTGTTGGGCTTCGAAGTTGTACAGGAGTTTCTGCTGATCGACGCCTATGGATTGGTGTTCTTGCAATGCGTGGTCTACTGTCAAATGGAGATTCTGGCTTTGGTGGTGGTTTTGTTGTCCTAAAAATAAAACATATCATTGAGCAATACTGTTGCCTTGTGCAAAGCCATCTGTGCAGTATGTTGCTGTTAAGAGTAGAGCAGAAGTATAATCGTAACAATAGGAACCTTAAGATACAAGGACAGCGACAGCAGGGAAAACGTCACTTAAAAAAAGAATTCATGTTTTTTCAATCTTCACTGTGATTATTCCAACTCACTTACTTTGTTAAATGTATGCAAACTCTCCTGGAACTGAATTTCTAAGAGCCTTATCTAAGTCTAGAAAGAGGAAGTCAATACTTGTTTACATCCTTCATAAAACATGAAACTAGACATTTTCACGTTGTAGTTGTGCAGTGACGGTAAAGAAGTATACAAAAAAGCATGATGCATGTGCAAAATTGTTGTTTTGCTTACTAAACCTATTGCTTTTTTGACATTCTTGTTGCCACCATTGTATCTTAGGGTCCCTAATGTCTCTTCTATATGGGAAAGAAGCACACACTGAAGCAGAGGCTTGACACTTACTTTTGACACAACTTGCCAGTGTGGAAAGTACAATGTAGATTTACAAATTTACTTTCCAAAGCAGATATTTCCTTTTCAGAATCAAAAGAAGCATATTTGTTACTTGCCATAACCAAAAGTAAATTTTCCAAACAGAGCAATAGTGTTTTGCCTTGAGTGATTCACTTTTCATTGAAATTGGGGCGCCTTGCTCTTCGGCCATTGTTCCACCAATTTTTCAGTGCAGGGTGTGGATCAAAATCAAAGGGAGAGAAAGACCTTTCTTTATTCATATCAGGGTAGCAGCCCATTCAGATGCCTTAAGCACTGCTATCATTTGGGGCCCTGATAAAAATTAAAATGATAAAACTGATAAAAACTATACAATTATCCTAAAATTCTCTTAAAAATTAATAAATGTATACTAAAATTTAATCTTAAAATATTGACTTTTCACAGTTACAGTAAACATGAATAAAATCTTAAAAATATTAAAAATTTGGCCTATTAAAAATTACAGAACCATCGTAATAAAAGAGTTTTAGCTAAGTCAGTTCCAATCCTTGTCAGGTGTAACATGTTCATTTGCCTTGTACTTTGATTGTGGACAGAACTGTTGAAAGTAAAATAGTTTTTTTTTTAATTGCGGGCATTGTCCTTTAATACACCTTTTGACGAGTTCATTAATATGGCTGACTCTTGTCTAATTACCAGAGATGGCCACTTAAGATAATCTAAAGCTCTGTCACTGTTGCCCGTTTTTGAAACAATTTTAGCGGCACGTCTTTGAGGCCTCTCTAGAGACAAACTGTTGCCAATTCCGTAGCAGTTCCACACAGTGTCACAATAATCTATGATAGGACGAATATAAGCTGTGTAAATGGAATTAGCACAGCCTGATGTAAGCCCTAGCATTCCCTATCATTTACCAGCTTGGGATAATACATACTTAACATGAGAATTCCCAGAAATATGTTCATCAAACACAACTCCTAAATAATTCTTGAATTAAAAAACATGTTTAATGGGTCAGCCATTAAACGTTATACCAAAAACAGAAGGACCTTCTGTGGTAACTCTTGTTAAACAGTCCAATACACATGTATGCCCACAACTTCAACTTCATATTCATTTTTTAAAAAAGAACTTTTGGAACAAAGCTTTTGCATTAAGATCAAGAAAGTTACCACCATTCTTTATTGTTATCCAACTATGCAAACTCTGACCGCCACTCTCTTTGAAATCGACTTCCAGTCTGCATCTTCCTTTTCTGTTCATATTTTTCTGGTGACTTTGGCTGTTCTTTTTTTGTTGGTTTTGGCTTCTTGACCAAACTTCATAGCTACTGCCCAAAGAACCAATTGATGGAAAACTCCTCAGTAAACGTGAAAGCAAACTACTCAAAATGGCAGTGATGTTTCTCATCCCCAGTGCTACTTGACCCTCCATTGCATCATCCATTTTGTGCCTAGTCTTTCTATGCCGGGTAGGACGCATGCAGATTTTGTGGTTATTCTTGGCATTCCAAAAGGAAGTTCTTTTTGTATTATTAACTATTTCTAAATGAATTAATTTTTCTAGCTGGCTGTTTGAACACCAAAAACTACTTTCCACACTGCAGAAAACCAGTTGCCTGATTGGGCAAGTATTCTTGGTCAACTGAATTTTTTTGCTTTCCACTAAAGGTATCTTACTCACCCATGGTGAATGGCGAGTGTTGGTGTCTAGCCCTGACTGAAGTTTAGACTGTATTAAGTCATTACGTGTAACAAACCTTGCAACATTTTCTATAATTCCTGAATTAAATGGCTCTCTATTATGATCTGAGGGTGATGGAGTTCGACTTCTTCCATCTTCACCATCACTAATCACAGAATACATTTTCAACGCTCGTTTGGTTTCTGCTTGCTTGTGAACTTGTTTAAGTAAATCCTGGGGAGGCAGATTTCCAGCCTACAAAAAATGTTAAATAACACTCCTTCAGTTTCTTTGCTAACTAAGGATCAGCTGCTGAAAAGTACGTCATTGAGTACATTCCTATAATGGTGTTAAATACATGAGTACCTCCCTGAGAATAAGTCAAACCTGTCTAAAATCAACCTTCCTTTTTCACTAGATTATTTTAATTTCTCAGTGTCTATTTCAAAGTGTGGCTTTGTGAGATTTTATGATCTGAAAAATTAATAACAAAACAGGAAATTTATGCAAGTGCAGCAAATGTGGTGAGGTATAATAATTATGAAATAAAGATTGCAGTAATTATTATCAGTAGTTAGGTTGACTTAAGTGAGATACCAAGAGTCAGGTGTGGCGACATATTTAAAGCTTACCCTGTGTTTAATACACACCTTTTTTTCATGAAAACTTGTTTTAAAATTTGAGGTCCGTATTATACATGGAATCCCCTTTTTTTCTTGAGAAGTTGATGGTCATGTGCTTTACTGTATTTTTATTTGACCATAAACCATAGCCTAATTTCAAACCTCGTGGGACTGGTTATGAGTGCCTGTATTATGGGACTATGAACATAAGGTCAACTTAGTCAGAAAGAGTTTTAACAAAATCCTCAAGTTCTGTGTTTACTGTGCCAGTATCAAACGAGAAACAGCCATTCAAAAACTCCAGAATGCAGTTACAAATATATAGATGTCTGAACAAACTATGTGTCTGGCAGTTAAATAAAACAGCCATATCTCCTTCAGTATTGGCCCCAACAACAAGTTGCACATTTCTTAAATCTCAGTGTAACTAAAAAGGGGTGCACATTATAATATTATATGGGTGAATATGGTACACACCAATAAAGATAACAGCACTTTTCAAGTACTTTGTCATTTTCTACACAAGCCTACTGGTTCCTCCTCCACCAACCTACAATTTGCCAAAATACTTTTAGTAACAGCTATCCACTGGCTTTTCATAGGTTAAAACAGTTCTTTTAAGTGCCATCAAAACATGTTAAACATATCCTTGCTACCTTGGAGCCTAGCAAACATCTGCCACAAATGAACCCTCTGTTTGAAATGATAGCTTTTCGCTACAAAGAAAATGTTGATAAGCATACCTTGACAGGGGCCAACTGTGGGGGACGTGATGGAGTCAGTTCAAGGAAATCAATCCCACTTGACTGGATATCAGTCTTCTTGATTTCTCCCAGGTCTGTGGCTCGTAAGCCACGACTTTTGGATGCTGAACGAACAAGCTGGGGTTTTACATGAATTGGAGTCTGGGGTACATCTAGTAGAAAAGTAGAAACTTATAAGTATTCTGAATTACAGTATAAAAAGTTAAACTTTACCCAAAGTGTAAAAGAAAACTTGCAAAAATAATGCAATGATTACATGAACTGACACCTAGATTTAGTCCCTCCCATTCTTTAGTTATTTTTGTTTAAGTAATGGTCCGTGTAAGAGGCAGGCAGGGGAACAGCAAAAGCAATTAAAAGGGGCTAATTTTTAATCATTAATTTCAATTAAATCAAGTGTTCTGATTGGCAGAAATCCAAAAATTGCCAAAAAACAGTGAGAAACGTGACAAAATAACTTTTTTTAGCTTTATTTTCCCCATTCCCTTGCCATATGCCTCACAGCCAAGTTTCACCATTGTTCTATGTTCTAGTTATTTTCGTTGTCATGCCAGATCAGGAGGAGATCGGAATAATTGTAGCATTAGAAATTGGAGTACAGCTAGGCATAAAAGGAGAAAGTGAAAGATTTGTTGTTTTTACAAAGATGAATTGATTTCTCAAAGAGATGTAGAACACTTGAGCTTGAGGTAAGCTTTTGCACCACCGCGCACATTATGTGTTATTCACTTGTGTTTGCCCTTTTCGAAACTTCCACATTCCTTGTATCTTTACCCATCTCTGATTCAATTTCTTTCCCTCTCTAGACTACTTCATCAAACAAAATGGAAGTTCACCGCGCACCTTAAATTAAAATGACCAAACTGAAACTTGTGACAGAAGTTTGCATTTTGTACCCTTAAGCTCTGCGACGGAAGCCGCTTAGGTATCATATAAATAGCTGTCAGTGGTGTTTGGCTTTCTCTTGGTACAGAAGATCTAGGGAGCATGACTGTAGCTTGCCTTTGTGTTTAACAAGGACAAGAGAGATTGTAAGAAGGATTTTTATAGGGTAAATATCAAAACCTTGTAAGATCAGTAGCACACTACACATGTACAGATGCATAACATGTTAACAAAATATGACAAATTCTAAAAAACTTCAAAATTCATTTAAAATAATTTATTTGCAAAGAAAATGAACCTCTTTAACCAAATTAAAACTTTTTAGACCGTTTTAGCTCATTTTGACTTAATCGGAACAATTTCTGTAATACCCAGGATGCATTGCGGCTCCGCCCATTTCATGTTTGTTAACATTATTAGGTCTGTTTTTTTAATTTTTTCTCACAAAAATGTTCTTTTGAAAATAAAAGGAATGTAAGGACATAAATTTTCGTTTTGGCTTTGTTTTTATCATGTAAATAAAGTAAATTATGCAGACAATTGTAGACCTAGAATGTCACTAGAACCGCACGTGTACTGAACATTTTATCACGTGTTTTCGATTTGTTGCATAACAATAAACTTCTGGAAAGTTCTTGGGTGGTTACCAAGGTCGTTGTGAAGCCTTCCTTCAAGTTAAAGCAAGTGAGATGGCGGAGGAAGTTTGAGAGGTTGCTGCATTTCTTTGAGATCAATGTTGCTGAATGTAACCTGAAACCTTCCACGAAACGTTTCAAAACACTTGGTATTCAAAAATTGCTTGTAGCGCACACAATTTCTTATATTTTTCCATGAAAATTGCTATTTACAAGTTGAGAATGAGTTGAGGATGACACATGAAAGAAAATTAGCGAGGTCAGTTTCATGCTTCGCGCGTGAAGACTGATTGCATTTTGCCTTCCTTGCGAAAATCAGGTGCAAACATGGCGCGTTTCAAAGTGTTTGGTAATCAGAAATTTGCTTCGTTCTCTGGATGGTAAAGAGGAATTAGGCCAAAATTTTCAGGATTGACTGTTGAAAAGGTGAGCATTCCAGTTACTGAGGCTATTTTATCTTTGAAGCAATCTATAGTTTGAAATGTTGGACGCATTGCTGATTTCGTGGATTGAAACGTACAGCGTGATGCTGGTACACTGGTTCAAGAAAGCTCATTTTTCTCAAAAACCGCTTTTTCTGACAAAGTTTGACCTATACAGCTGAAATCTATAAATAATTTTGATTTATAAGGATACTAGTTCTGCTCAAATCTATTATGGTTAAAACATGAAATGTTACCAAAATGATAATTTGCTGCGTGTGAATGTTACGCGTGACGGCCCAAATTATGCACATTTTTGTAAAAAATAAATTTCTAGAAAATGTAAAATTCAATAAATATTCATGATTTTTGGCGGATCTGTAGTTCAACATGTTGTTATTGTTTGCACCAAGGGACAGCTTTGTAGCTGTAAACATTGAGGATATATTGTAATTTATATGTGCCAAATTTTGTTTGTACACATGAACCGTGCTCCTGATCTAAACAGATAAACTGTAAGAGAGCTTTTTTCTGAAACTCGATTCTCCGAACATGCAGGAATTTTTTCTACCTGGGCAACATCATCTTTTTTTCCAAATGCAGAACATTTAGATAACATTTAGATTTGATTTTGTGTACTTGTTGTTGTTCTGTATGGTCTACGCGCGACATTGGCGTGTTCACCAGATTCGCCACATGAGAGTGAATTGCTGCTGTTTATGATCATGGTTTTGACATTTCTTTTGTGAGAGCCGACGTAAATGTTGTTCACAATGTCGCTGATTGATGTAACACTGTGCTCATCTTCATGTAATTTCATATCACTTTAACTTCCTCAGGTTTGGCGCATAGAAAATTTAATCTTTTACATTTTAGATATGTTATAGTTTTCAACATAACAAAGCAATAGACGAAATAAAAAGTTGTTCGAATGAATCTTAAGCTATCTTAAGTCAGCTGATTTGGAAGAAAAAAAAACGCCCAAAACATTACTTAACATTCGGTTATACCAAGCCCTTGATTAATCTTTTACATTTTAGATATGTTATATTTTTCAACATAACAAAGCAATAGACGAAATAAAAAGTTGTTTGAATGAGTCGTAAGCTATCTTAATTCAACTCTAAAATTCAAATTTTGCGCTTTTCGCTGCATTGACCAATCAGATTTAATTTGATTAGAGAAATTAGTGCCTGGAAAATATCTGACGCTATTGCTGCGGGCTATTGTTTTTCTGCCTGTTTCTTAGCTGGACCATTACTTAATCTCTATTATTATTCATTCAAAATACTTCCCCAATTCTGATTGGCTAAAAGCGCATGCATAATTCACCATAACCATTTACAGAAGACCAAATTTGGAAGAATTTTGTGTTTAACAAGGAAATAACGTCAAAAATGCAGCCTTCTACAGGTTAATGCACTGTTAACTGAGAAGACCTGGAGATGAGGTTGAGTTGCTTTCGTTGTGAAAACTAAAATGGCGGACACTTCACTCGTTTCAAGAGTAAGAACTACAGCTGGAACTAGGCAAAATAATGGCTAAAAACATAGCAAAAACAGAAAGAAGACAACTCGGAGAGCGACATCTGCTATTTGGAGAATATTTACAGAGCTGGACAAAACTAAACGTACACTATCGAAGATAAACTGAACATCGATCCAGGTAAGCATGTTTTAGCTATGTTTTTAAAGTGCCCCTAACCCTTCAATTTGTTTTCTTTTGGTAGATTTCCATATCTGTCAGGAACTAATTTTCGAAAATGAAGGCAGTATTGTCGATATTTTCACCTATCGCTTGCATTAGTCCCCCACTAAGCTAAATGTGTCCAAATGGAACGTGACCTAAGAAAAGGACATCGTGCTACTTTTGTCAACTCTTCACCTCTTGTGTCGGAAAACTCTTCGGAAGAGGACATATTTTCATGCAAATTGTAAGCTTAACAAATAATCTGCGGTTGCACTATACTTTCAGTGTCCTTTTCTTACGTCACTGCTAAAAAAGTGTCAAATATCAGATGCTTCTCATTGGCTCGTTCCTAATGAGCCCACGAGACAAAAATTTGTCCAGCAGCGCTTATGGCTTGGCACACGCTACTGGTGTACACGAGCATAACACCGTGCCTTATGCACGATTCGCGCTCAAGAAAAGGCACGGTTTTTGTGCCAAAGCACGAGAAAAAAACATGCAAAGGCACAGATTAGGCACACTTTAGGCACAGTTAAGGCACGTTTTAAATATTGCTAAGGCACATTTTAGGCACAGTTTGGGCACAGTTTTGGCACGGTTTAGGCACAAATATTCAACGCTGGGCAATTTTTGAAAATCTTTGTAACCCGACTTGCAAAAAAGAACAAATTTGGTACGAATTACAAAAATAATTCAGATCAAACACGATACAGTTAGAAGTATAGGAAGTGTAAGTTTAGAGCCGTGCCGAAAGTCTGGAAAATTAAAGTATTCTTCGACAGTCCGTGTTTACTCCGAGGATAAAGTGGAACTGAATTCACACGCGATATATGCGGTCTGAACCTTTTCGATTGCCATGCAATTTGACAGACTGGCTTTCTTTCGTTTCTGAAAGAAATCATGACAGAAAGTCGAAGCCATAATAACAAAAACAAAGCTAAAGAAGTAAGGCACAAAAATAGCCAATAATTCGTTTTCTTTATAAGACATATCACAAGTAAATTCTTTTTTTTGAATGCAGATCTGGCCTCCTGAAAAAAAAATATTTTGTTCCTACTAAACGCTCCGTTAAGAAGGGGAGAAGAAACCCACTTGGAAATTTTTTAACATCAGTGAAATTCTTGAATCGATGAAATTATATCAACATGTAATTGACTAGAGCTGAGCACTTATTTTAAATACGCTAACCTGTTTAAGATTCCGATTTCCTGTTTGTCGGGGCTTTCCCTGCTGTCTCTAACCGTATTATGAGTCATGTTATTTCTTATTAGGGGATAAAAAGGTTGTCAGCCCGTGTTTCTAGACTTCGTAAACCTTAAAACTGACATAATTGCCGTGCGCACTTTTCTTTCACTGTGGAGCTCGATAGGCTGAACACGATTTTCCGAGTGACTCAATATGTTTTGGCACAACTTGTGCACAGATTAGGCACAGTTTGGGCACAACTTAGGCACGGCTTAGGCACGTTTTTCAAAACTGAAATGCACACTTTATGCACATCTTAGGCACATTTTAGGCACAAAATCTTTGTGCCAAAGCACACTCTAGAATCCGATTTTCGGTGCAACGCACGGTTTACGAATTTTCAAGTTAAAAAATGCTGTCTAACCTTAGATATTTGATCTTAGTGTAAAAATGGGTTTCCTGAAGTCTTAACAGTTAGTCTATAAGGAAGGTTTAACTTATGAGCATTCCAAAAATTATTATTTCTTCTCTTAACAGCAAAAGAAAGTCAATCAAAAGCAATCTTTTAAATTGACGTTCGCGCTGCACAAAGATCAGATGTAGACAGAACATCTTTCTGAAAACGCCCTAAACTTTGTTGTTTTGCCATTATGTTCAGCAATTTTTAATACAGTTAGTACTCATAAGTCACTGACCTCTGTGGAGAAATTTTTCCAAAGTATAATTAACAGAAACAGAGAAATCCCACAATATGCGTGGTTAGACTGTAAATGTTACGCGAGCTGTTAAGAAATGGTCCCATTTTGAGCCATATTTTTCATATTTTAATTTTATTGTGGTCTTACAGCCAGAAAAAAAATATTCAATGAAAAGCTGTATATAAACTTTAACTTCTTGCCAAATATCGATGCGATCTGAGTTTTAATAAGTTCATAAGAGCCAAACGATGTGAGATTCTTAGCCGTGTACACCAGTAGTGTGCGCCAGGCCTTATAGCACACAAAAATTGGAAAATTTTGATCACTTTTAGCGCTCTTAAAAAAAAAAGGATTCAATGTTTCTGAAAAAATTTTTCGATAATGAGTTCTTGAAAGATATGGAAATCTACCAAAAGAAAACAAATTGAAGAGTTGGGGTACTTTAAACTAGGCATTATTATGAATGAATAATAAAGTAATTAATGAATTCGGCTTTCGTAGGATATGAAGAATTAAGCAGATTTTGGAGGGTGTTATGCACCTCGGCCTTCGGCCTCTTTAGATAACGCCCTCCTCGATCTGCTTAATTATTCATATCCTACTCAGCCTTATTCATTAATTGCTAATTAGGTTGAGACCTCTCTAAGCTACAATAGTTTCAATGGAGTCCATCTAAGAAAGCGTCAACAGCAATGGCATACCAGATTTCTTTGCTTCACCATCAGCCTGATCCAGTGATGAGTCTGTTTCAGCAGGAACAGCTGGTGAGAGACAGAACAGCCGGTTAACATGAGTCAAGCGTTTAAGTATGCTTAATTCAATCAGATTGTGCTTGAAGCCAAAGAAAACAGCAAACATTTGGTGCCGCCACGAATGGTTTTCAAACAAAATGGTATTTAACGAAAGAGCGCAGGATTCCATACTGATGTTGTGTCACTACCCTGAACTGGGTTGAAAAATTTCTTCAACCTATCAAAAGCACTATCCAGATTTAAGTAGTGACACATTGAGTTCAGAACCTGAAAAGTGTCAGCTTTTCTCTCCTGGTACACTTTTAGAACAAAGTCTACTGTTTTACTTCACCAATATTTTGTGCAGTGTGTTTATGTACTTACTGTGGGAGACTGGAGACAATCTACCAAAAGGCTTCATTTCTGACCAATCAGGCCAGGAGCTGGACAGTGACATTGGAAAAGATTTCCTCTGAGAGGAAGGAAATGGGTCTTCATCACCAGGTGAGAATGAACTTTGAAGTGTATATGGAGTAGGTGTGACAGACTGTGCAGAACGTAAAACAGCTTCTTTAGGTGTCTGTTCCCCAACTGCAGGTTCGGCACTGCTGGTAGCCTTGGATTTAGTGGTAATGGTTCCACGCTTGTAAAGTAAAGCATAACTGTTTGGAGCTGTTTGACTTAAGTGTGCCACAGGACTACCAATCTTGGATCTATCTTTCTTCACCTTAGCCCTGTGCATTTCAGCATAAGAGCTTGATGGTATATTTTCTGTAGACTTTGGGGTGTGGCGATCAGCCACTTGGTTGGCCCTTTGTACACTCATGGCATGGTATTTTTCTGCATAGGAGGAGGAAGTCAGCTTAGACTTGGGCATTGATGCTGCTCGTGGTTGTGTATTGGACTTCACAGGACGATCACTCACTATCTCAGTAGGGGCCCAAGAATTAAGCTTCACTGGTGGCCGCACTGGATCAATGTTGTCAGCAATTGGCTAAAAAAATCAAATCAACACAGTTAACCTGAAATTTACCACATCCCTTTCATGCTTCCCACACACTCTTCTCGTTCCCAACAAAACAATACTGCCTTCAAAAGTGAACACTTTTGAGGGCACTTTAACAAGAGGATGTGATATTGAGTTTTTAAATTCGTTCTTGAAAAATATTGCAAACTGCCAAACTTAAATTTATATATCTCAATAAAACATTCTCTTAATAGTGGAGAGCACAAATTTTGCTCAAACCAGGGAAATTACTTTACTTAGAATAAATATGAGAATTCCAGTACACAAGCAGAGTAAAACCCAAAACAAGACCGAGCCAGATTTTTACTGTTGTTTGACAAAAGCAGTTATGGTGGCCATCAAATATTTTAACTTCCTTTTCTCAACATTTCCTTAATCAGGCTGATATTGTAAACAACTGCAACAATAATAAATCTCCCTCGCTTATAAAGTGATTCTTTTGGGCACACAAATTCTCTTTTTTGACTGAGCTTCACAAAAAATACAATTCTTGCAATGTATCAAATTTTTCTTTTAAATTTTCACAACTCTACTTAACAATTACATTTACTTTTCTATCTTACATAGAATGAAGGAAAATTAAGAGAAAAAATTGAAATATTGCGTAACTGTAGAATCACCCCATACAGAGCTGATAAACATTCATGCAAATAATGTTCACAAGTTTAAATGAAAACAAACCCAAGATTTAAAAAGCTGTAAACAAACCATACTGAGGGGAAATAAGTTTAAAAGTTAAAGTTTCAGCTTTTTCAAAATCTTAAAACCTGAAATTTAAATCTGAGAAAAAAGCTTTTAAAAGAGGCAATGTAAAGTTCAAGTTTGTATGGAGCCTAGAAAGATATAGATAGATGCAGTTTATGTTCCACTCTATAGCCAATGACGGCAATAATCAACAAAAAATGTATGAAAAATTTTTATAGTTATCAGTGTAAAATAATCAACAAATCAGTCATCTTGGCAAAAAAGATATTTGTTACAGTTTGTGATTTGATGGATAAAATTATTTATCATTAACCATGTACTTTTTGCTGATTTTAAATAAAAGTAGCTTTGATGTAATACTAATTTTACAGACAGGTAATTTCACAGAAAAGAAAGGCTTTTTGCCAGTTATTTACTTGTCCCACACAACACTAAATATTAGGGACATTATTCAAGAAATAACAATGGAAAGGGAAAATCAGCAGAGAAATGCTCCCACTGAGATATACAGTATACACAGCAATCAGCTTTGTCCAAAAGTCCATTTTCTTTGGCCCCTGGAGAAAATAAAATTTTCTCCTTTTTATTTTTTTCACTAATTCACATCTTCATGCCAATTAACAATCTAATTTAGGAATTGTACTGAAAAAAATAAAGACATACAAATTAAAGTGTACGGGAAACCTAATCTCCAATATCTGGTTTACACTGTATTTACTAAATTATTGTCTCTCACTAAAGAACTCTAGATACAGTGTATATTTGACATTTCAGATTTTACATGTATGATGAACTACTCATTTCTACAACCAATTTAAGCAACAATAATGCCACACAATGAACAATAATACAGAATAAATTATAATAAATTACTATTGTTTAGAAAGAAGAAAAAGGTGGTAAGTGCAACCAGGAAACATTGGTTCTGGAGCTGAAAACACTTTGTTGTTTGGTTAACTTATAATACCTGGTTTCCATCTCGACCCTGGTCACCTTCCCATGGTAATCGATTCTTTCCTGCACTAAAGAACCTTCGGGGGCTTGGTCCTGACATATTCCAAGAATCATTAAGTCCTGGAGTAGAGCGAGCTGTCCCAGAAGGATCTGCAGAACCTGTACCAGCTGTACCAGCTAATATCCAGTCAATATCAGCTCCACGTGGTGTATTGCTCTGGCCTCTTATTGTCCCAGATGAAGGCATAGGAACAGCATACTCCACCAAACCATCTCTATTTAAGCGGGGGAGTTGCCTCCGAGCCAATCTTGCTGTTATGGCACCCATAACACCCTCACCCCCCATATTAAGTTCAACACTATCAACTGCAGCAATAATAGGTTGAATACGTCCAGGTCCCATTGCCTGGGCTATAACTGCAAATGCTTCTAATGCTGCCTGTCTCACTCTCCTCTTACTGTCCACCAAGGCAGGGGCAATTGAGTTTGTCGTATCTGGAAGACTGAAATCCGAACTGGGGAAAGTAAGCAATGCTGCGATAAAAACATTGACAGATTCTTCTCGCACTCTGGAGTTGCGATGTTGTAGATTAGTTGTCAACACAGACAGCACTGCTTTTGGAGATAGGATTTGCATAAGTTGCATCAAAACTTTCATGTTTTCCTGCCTGATCACTATCTTATTGTCTCCCAATCTGTTTGAGAGTGCTAACAGAAGAGGCTTTAAAACTGGCCGCACACCCACCCCAAGTTTGGCTACAAGTAGCCCAATAATTTGGAGGCTGGTGACACCAATCTTAAAGTTCACATCGTCAAGAAAACCAAGGAGGAGTGCAAAGAGTGAACCTAGATTTGGGTAAACTGGCGAAGTATCTGTCAATTGACCCATTAGTGTTTTCAACTCTTCAATTCCTTGTGCTCGTACTCTCCAGTTGCTTTGATCTCTGAGTTTTGCCATCACAGTTACAGGAACAAACCCATACTCTAGTGGACCATAGCCTCCATCAGTAAAGTCATCTAAGTTACTAGTTACTGCTATAGTATGTCCTCTATCCAACACAGTATCTCTATCTGACTGATCAACGTCTGTAATAATTCCATTAGAATTCAAATGACTGGCACTTTTAGCCTTTCGACCTCCAAACGCCTCCATTTCTTGTACTGGATCGGCACTCCGATTTTGAAGCGCCAATAAACAAACGTTTTGTTGGTCAGGGGGCAATCGCCGAAGGTAATTGTCGAAAACTGAGGATCCTACAACATTTTTTATCCGTTCGAGAGAAATGACAGCAGGCGAGCTTTCGGGTCTCGATGAATTTTCCAACCTACCGACAAGCGCCTTTGTCAATGTAAACAAATCTTCATGCGCCAAGTTTGGCATTATAAGGATGGGCAACGCAACTAGACTTTCCGTTCTTGTTCTTCTATCGTCACTCTCAAGACCATGATCGATTATAGCGTTCAAAACTGCACTGACCTGCGAAGAATGTTTCATGTATACATGCAGTGTCTGAATCGCAGATTTCTTTACCGACACCTGGTTGTCTCCGATGTTAGAAACGAGTTGAGGAAGAACAAGAGTCATACAATCATCCAAATCGTTCCCAAATTCTGGAATGATTTCGCACAGAAACTCCGTACAACGCAGTCTTGTGTTTGAGTTTGGGTCGGCAAGTGCTTCTTGTAAAACGCGAAACAGAGAAAGACGATCAACAAATTGTAATCGACCACCATTTCGCCGCGCATTTGCACGCAGCTCGTCCAAAATATCAGTTTTCCTTGCGGAATCACTGCTTTTGGCTAGTCCAGCTAGCACTTCATTTTCTTCCATATTTTGTACAAGGACTTCATCAGGCTCAGTGATCACTGATGACAGTGGTTTGAGCTTGGCAACACCACTAGCCATCTACTACATGCATGACGGAACGAGAACCTGCTAATTGCCACAAAATCATCAACAAACCGCTGCTAGATAACCATACCCATTGATTTTAGTAAACTCCAACGACGAGTCCACGACGCTTTATCCATAAAACAAGCAAACATGCAGGTAAACCACAGGATAATGAAGTTAAATATAATGCATTACATCCATCGAGAGTTTGAAGGAAATTCCACAAACTTTTGCCGTGGCGAGGTTCCCGGATGAGTGAAATTCACAATCAAATCTTGCACAGCGGAGTAATCGACGAGCGCGCGCAGCTGATTGGTGGGTGGTTGAATCCAGTGCAAGGGTTGTAGTTGATATCCTTTTTTTTTCTCTCTACGAAAAAGTAAGCCAGCAAAATTTAACGATTTTTAGCGGGGGAAAGATAAACATTGTACATAAAATATCATCTATATCAAAAGTGGTTTTTAAAAATGACAAAAGTCATAATACAAGCCGCCAAACAGGAGAGCTTGCAAAAAGCCGAAGGCGAGTCAATTTACAAGTGTTGTCCCAACATTCCAAGTGGGTTATCACGTCGGTAAACCCATAGAAAGCTTAAACCGGAAATGGCTCATTTCTGGAGGTAATAAAAATAGAACTTGAAATTTCGTTTACTTTTCCCAAGGGCAGGTCTCGGACAAAGTGGGACCGGGGGGGAGTATAAGCCTAATAATAATAATAATAATAATAATAATGATCCACTTTATTTAACGAGGGTAACACGGGACAGCACTTCAAGTGAATAACTAGAGGCCCTCAAACTTAAAACTACAGTCACACCTGTATTAAGCGGCCCTGTACGGTTATCCTCTATTAAGCGGTCACCCGTCAAAGGCCCGGAAATCGCTTCCATTATTTACTGTAAACTTGACCTCCATTAAACGGTCACCTCTATTAAGCGGACGCGATCACCCTTTCTAAGGTCCCAAAGTGCTGATTTTATTGTTTTCACCTGTATTGAACGGTCACTTTTTTACAAAAAATAAATTCTGGGAGTCAAGTATTTTAAAATCACAAGTGTAACTTGTTTCCACAAATGTCTCGAAATCAACTGTCTGAACAGTTCAAGAACTTTCATTGGCATTATGCAAAGTAAATGATTTGCTTCACAGCATACAGTTGAAAACTCCTAAGGGTCAGTCTCGTATTTCAGACTTTTTCAATTCCTAGAGCGAACCACCGACTATGCGGACTTTTTCATTACAAAAAGACGATAATATGTGATATTCTCCTCAATTTGAATATAACTTAACTGTACAAGTGTTATTGCCGGTTCCTAACTAACATAACTGAGTACTGTACAAGTGGTTTCAGAGTGAGTATCTGAGGCACAAAAGACCTCACGTAGAGGGTCTCCAATAAGTTTTTCGGGTTGCGGGATTTCCCTTATTTGAAGCTCGGGATTCGGGATTTTAAAGCGAAATCGGGGCGAGATTCGGGATTGAAAGTATGCGCGGGAGGTGGGATGCCAAAAGTAACCCTTGGGATTACGGGATTGCCCGAAATTTTGGGTCGGGATTACGGGATAGAAAAACCCTATTGGGGACCCTCCACGTAAAGTTTTGGATGAACAAGTGCACTACGTTTACTCCGCTTGGTTTCTGTTTTGTTTGTATTTTCATAGTTACTGTTTTTTCATATCGCCGCGCGAGTGTTTTTAATCTAAAAATACAAAGGATAATCCGGTGTCAAACAAAATGTCATTCCCACTTAACCCTTGAATTTTACGACACCTGTATTAAGCGGTCAACCTTTATTAAGTGGTCACTTGGCCATTGCCCGCGGGTGACCCTTAAATACAGGTTTGACTGTATAACAACGAAAATTAAGTAACCAAAAATACATTGATTCCCCCGCCTTCCCTGGCTTTTCCCCGTCACAAAATGCTATTGCGTTTCTTCCGGTGGCGCCATCTTGAAATCGTGCTTTACTACGTGTTCGAGGAGTATCACAAATAAAATTTACTATGTCTGATTCTTTTCTTGTCTTCTATGATTTTGATATCTTGTCTATGATTAAAAGGAAAAATCCTTTTCGTTTTTATTGTGTCATTTTGATTTTAAATTTGTCGCGTTTGATTTCTCCAATAACAGTTTTGATTTTCAAAGTTTGTCGCGTTTGATTTCTCAAATGCATTTTTGATTTCCAGAATTTGACGCGTTTGATTTCTAAAATTTGACGCGTTTGATTTGTCAAATGACACTTTTGATTTCCAAAATTTATCGCGGGAAAGTGGAATAAGCAACAGACCGCACTTTCTATGGGTTTAACGGCGTGATAACCCACGCGGGATGTTGGGAGAACACGAGAAAAGCTTGTGAAACACGAGCCGAAGGCGAGTGATTTAAAAGCTTTTCGAGCGAGTGTTCTCCCAGCATTCCAAGTGGGTTATCACGCCAGTAAACCCATAGAGCAGTGTGGTCTATTGCTTTTATAAAATAACTTTAAGTTTTCTATGAGTTTACCGGCACAATAAACCATAGGTTTTTAACCAATCAGAACGCGCGTACTATCTCAGTTATCAGAGGAGGCACCCTAGTAACTCGCCCGTATATTAAGGACAGTACTTACAGTTCAAATATACAGTCAGTATACTAGAAAAAATCTCGATTTGCTCGAACTGGGGCCGCGAGGAATCGGTAGGTAATGATGACGTCTCTATTGTTTGCGCCCGTAAGTAGGAAATGGTTAGGATGACGTAACGACAGAAAATCCCGAAGGGACCGCTCAGGTAGATTTTGTGACATTTATTGTGCGGTCATACTTCGATACTCTTTTGCGTTACGCAGTGACATTCTGTCATTCTGGCATTCTGTTCTGTGGAGCAGTTGTTTTGAAAGTTATGGACCAAAAGACACAATACACCCGTGACCAAAAGAGACATTACACCCGTGAAATCTATGGGTGGGCAAAGGTTTAAGGTTAAGGTGGGGAGGGGTTTGAAGGGGAGGTATTTCCTTTAAAAACTTCTTTTGATAACCCGTGTCCAGGTCTTTCCCCCGGGGGGCCGGGGTCCCTCCTTTCAAGATGTCGCAGTGTGAACTCCAGGCGTCCGGTTCCGTCCGGTTTGCAATTGAGGGGACGGTGCAACGGACGCCCGCGGTGTGTCCCGCGGTGTTGGTTGCAAAGACTCGTTCGGTTCCAGACCTCCCTCCATGTACATGCTTGAAAATGTCGGACGTGCCGGGCCTCATGTCACCTCAACTTGAATACTTTATATGCATGACCGAGGGTCAACCAGTTTGTCAATCCTGTCCAATCGATCGTTTAACAGTGGTCTATCATGATGTCACGTTTTTGTCTTGAAATGTAGGCGAATTTTTCCGGATGTTTTCCGTACCAGGTACCGAAAGTTTCGTGTGTGAAGTCGCAATATTTGATCCACTTGATCCACAGTAACTTAAGCTTATACTTATTAAGAGACCAGAGAAAGAATATTAATATCATAATCGAGGTAAGATTCTGATTAGACGTTCTTCAATCCTGCCCTTTAAAGTGAAGAGGTCAGCTTCAGCTAAAGGTTGTTTCAATTTAATAAGATAGTGATCATGTGGATTTAGATACCATGTGGCTTTGCATTGGAGTGGATGTCGGAGGAACTAATACTGATGCTGTGATACTGAGAAAGAAGGAAGTATTATGCTCTGCAAAAGTACCAACAACTGCAGATGTAACATCAGGGGTCACCAGTGCCATCCGATCAGCATTAAGGGAACTTCCAAATGAATATCAACCAAATCCTGCTCAGTACGTTATTAGAGTTAACATTGGTACAACCCATTTTGTGAATGCAGTTGTCCAAAGAACAAAACTGACTAAGGTTGCTGTACTGAGGCTGTGTGGACCAGCAACTCAAAGTGTACCACCTTTGTGTGATTTTCCTACTGATTTAAAGAATGTAATTACTGGGAAGTATTTTTTCCTCAATGGTGGTTACCAGTACAACTGCTCCTGCATAACTGATGTTGATAAGGAAGAAGTTCGTAGGATTGCAAAAGAAGTTCATGATGAAGGTTAGCTAATGCTCTTTACAAATAGGGCTATTTTTAGTCACAAGACACAAGTAGCTCATAAAGTTGTATGTTTTCTGTCATTGATGTCAATCATAATTATGTCATTATTACTTTCATGCCATATATGGCATTGTCATGGTTAGTTTACATACATGTGCAGTCAACTTTCTCACAGTGACAACAGGAGGGCATTTTGCATGCGCGTGCGTGCATCCGCTGAACGACAATAGCGTGGGCACATCAAATCTGATGGCGGGAAATCAAAAACTCGCGTATAGGTACAGTCCTTTTAAAAGCCATTTCGTTGGTGCTTTGAATACCGTACTTTCCTGCAAAAATATTCTCCATGACAAAAATCGGATGTTTTCTATGCGGGTTTTCACGAGTAGATTTTTCAGCAGTAGGTGTTCTTGGCCTTTTAATGACTTTCAAGACTCAATGCCAAAAAGTCATGTTCCTGTATAAGTCTGATTTTCACTGGCTAAGCAATGCATTTCTATGGTTTGATTTCCAAACTTGTGGTTTCACTTAGCAAGGAGGAAATGCATCGTAGCAATGTTCAGCTGCCTTAAGACTGAAAGCAAAAAAAAATTTATCACGTGAGGTTTGTTTATTAGCGCGTTGTCTCATGTTAAACTGATCGCGGAGACACGCATTTATACATGCCACAAAAACATGAAATCTATGGGTTTTTTACAGTTTTTCGAAAGTTTTCATGGAAAATTTTATAAAAACAGGGTTGTCACTAAGGGCCGGGGGCCGGGGACTTCCCCCGGCTACTCAGAGCATGGTCCCCGGCTACTTTCGTCGTTAAATTAAACCAAAGGAGCACACCTTTGACACACAAAGACTATCCATCCAACTTTTAATGCAAGTTTCATCTGTAGCAGGTTTAAGTAATTTTGAAATACTCGCGTGCAAAAACTAAGAAATGTCGGAAAAAGACATCTGACTTAGATTTGGTACTAGTACACACGCGCGAAAACTTTCCGTTCGCGAAATGTCAGTAGGGAGTTTTAGCAACGACAACGGCGATGGCAACGAGAACGTCAGAAAAGCAATAGGTTTATTGAGCAGAACAACTAGTTTGCGCTAACGTGATCACTCTTTTTTGTCCATTTCTTTGCCGTTACTGCACGACTGCGACGTGAAAATGCCTAGTTTCACGTTTTAAGGAGGACGTAAACAAGCGACGACAAACTTTTCTTTCTCTTTCTAAACTTGAGCGCGGTTCCAAAGAAATCAACTCCAGGGAAATTGGCCTACATTAGCTATTTTCAGCGACGGAATTGAAATAAACGTGCAAGGTTGGAAAAAACGCCAATTCATTATAAAAGTGACGTTTTCGCTGCCGTCACCTTTGTCGATGTTAAAAGTCCGGCTAGTTTCAACCATTGTGTCGGCCTTGTGTTGAACATGTCAAAGAAGTGGCAAAGGAATCTGCACTCTTTGTTCACAATGAAAGACCTGAGCAGATCTCTGTTGACATCACAGAAGAAGTTAAGGCTTCATCCGAGCATTAAATCTCCCTGATACTGATGTTGATGAAAATGAGGATTATGATGAAGGCTTTGAAGATGAAGACTCTGACTGATTGCTATGTTTAATAAATTGACATTTAAGTGACCAGGTCTACATTTAGCTTAATGCTTTAGGTACTGAGTATATAAAATAACGCACGGTCAACGGGAAATGTTCGATCACTGTCAGCAGGTCATGATCATATCCTCTCAGTTCTACTTCGAAGAAGTTATATAAAAGGGAAGTTAAGCATTAGCATTGCTTTTTGCATTCTTCTCTCTGAGTCTCGTTTTGACATCTCAGCATTGTTTATAAAGTATTAGCCGTCTTTTAAACGCTTTTCCGTAGGTCAGTTTCTTCGTATGTTATTAAAGTGATGTTTCGTTCCTAAATTCGAGACCGCTAATGTTAACAGTTGTGCAGTTGATTTTTGCCATATTTTATCCCGCGATTTTTCGTACGTTACGCTTGTGTTAACTTTATCACACTTTTATTTTGCAACAAACCATGGTAACCTTATGTTTATGATGCTTTTTCGTACATTCATTGTCCGTTTTTCTTCTTTCTGCTTCTCTTTAGGTAAATTAGGTTTACTTTTGTTTTCCGTCAGTTGTTTCGTTGTTACGTATAACTAAATGAGGATTTACAATTGATTTTACAGCGCATGTTAATTCATTTGCAGTAAAAACTTATTATTTTAGTGTCTCAGAATGTTGTAGTTTTCTTTAATACAGACGTGATCATCATAATAGCTGTATGATAGCTGTACTCTTAATGAAGATTGCTTTTTGGGAGCGGTAACGCCTTTTGGAAAACGGTAGAAGTTGCACTCGATGACTGCTTGCGACTTCTCCGGCTACTATCAACAAATACCCGGCAACTTGAAATCTTAGTGACAACCCTGAAAAATATTCTACAGGAAATGAAGAATGGATTGAGCTCGAGACAGCAACAATTACAAGTGATTGTGTAGCACATAATCACTTGAACATTTCATAAGCTCAGTTGCAGGCAAAACAAATGCACATACCCCGAAAAAAAGAACAATACTTTTATTTTTCTTTAACTCTAAAAGATACAGAGCTATTATTTTAAGCTATTATTTTGAAGCGACTCTTGAATAACAGCTCCTGTGTTCCACAATCGATTTTTTGTTATTAATTTATATTTGATGACAGTAGTGATCTATTCAAAACAGAGAATGGCCATCACTCCATAAATCTAACTGACGATGTTTTTCACCTTCAAAGCCTGTTTAAACATAAGACAGGAATTTTGTTAAAGGAGTGCACGGGGCTCGACTTTCAGAAAAAAATCTTGGGGCCAACTGGCCCCCAAGTTTTCATTTTTGGTCGCCAGAACAAGTATTCTAGTTGCCAAAAATTATATTTAAGAACTGATGGAATACAATAAACTTAACGTCTTTAACTTGGCCTTAACAGAAAATGAATGTTTTAGACTTCCTCTGAACTTTCTTTCCAATGGTTTTCCCTGAGGCTCAATTACCAGCTGGTGTTCTGGAAAATGAACCCACACTCAAGCGTAAATCTCCTCAAGGTATTCAAGCTTAAGATTCAGGAAATGGAATACACATTAAGAAAAACAAACTTTAGGAATAACAAAAAAACTTATTTGACTTTTAAAGAACAAAATCTGCAAAATTTGTTTTGCGTCCCATGTATTTGCATGTTCAGAAATGAACATCAGTGAAACTTCATCTATTTCGCGGTTGCCTAACACTTGACCGAAAGTCTCCAGAAAGAGGAAACGTTGCTAATGTTTTCGGGCAAAGAAGTTGATTTCGCGAGAAGTCTGTTAGACAAACAGCATGAGTTCAACGGTACTTCATTAGAAGTCAATAAAATACGGCAGAGCTTTTACTTGGGTCGTCTCGCTCAACAGAAATTTTCGTAAAGTTATTTACAAGAATTGCGAAGCTCGAGAAGTAAGCGCCGTTCGTTCTCAATTAGCTTCGCTTAGCTTAAGCTTTTATCAGACTAATCTGCTATCAAGTCTGCAATCGAGTACATGTTCGACATTGTTGTGTTAAATATCGATGGCGCTAAAAGTCATTCCCGGAGAAACACGGGACGATCTGTTGAGAATTGCGATCGATTTGCCTGAAAGTCGAGAAGTCTTCGTCAAATTCATTCATTTCACAATCCTCTTTCAAGTAAATGTAGAGTAGAGTGTTGCAAGAAATCATTAACTTGTTTAGACAAATCGTTAAAACGTTTAGACAAACTGTTAGAGAGTTTGGGCAAAACGTTAGAGCGCTAGGAAAACCGTTAGCTATCCGTTAGTTGTGTAAAGGATAACAAATTATCATTAGTGTACGTTTACCCAAAGAAGCAAGTCACCTATCTTGGGGGCCAGGTTGGCGACCAGGCGTGAAAATTTAGTCGCCACTGAGTAAAAGCTGGTCGCATTGGCGACCCCACAGGTCGCAGCATCAAGCTCTGATGCGTATGATGCTGTTTCCTCAAAAAATAAATACTACTGCAAAAGGACCCAAATGAGCTGGGATGCGACAGCAAATTAAACGTGAAACAAATCGATGGATGAATTTGTCTGTTATTAATTTTTCTGCTTAGAGCTTTTAATTGTATCCAGATGAACCCCTTATGTAAGTTGTACATCAGGGAAGAATTATCAAGCAGAATCTGCTGTATTAGACAAGGATGTGGTTCAATACAGAGGAGAAGCTGGTCTCAGTCAACATCCTTTGTGAATGAAATGTCTCACAAATTAGCATATCAACAAATGTAGTATCCACAAAATGGTATCATTTAGGAATAAATGCAATTTTTTTGCAACAGAGGCCAGGATTTATTTAAAAGGTGTATTGATAATGCTTCATTTTGTGCTATTTTGGGGTTGGGGAGTTAGGCTGGATTTTCTTTAACAAGCCAAAATGTTACATTTATTTGCATAATGAAATGTAAACAATCAGTGTACCATCAAATTGAGGTGGAAAAAAATCAGAATTCAAACCGATTGCTGTGATTTTGTTTCCTTTGTGTAACTAAATGATAGAATATAATTCTTATTTTCAAAACACAATCTTACTGGCATCATTATATTGATTTAAATTTATAGTTGAAGTATGTGTATTTTATTTCTCCACAAAGACATATCGGTGAAGAAAGCTAAGATTACCGCAGAAGGTGATTTTGTCACAGCCTTCATCAAAGCGCCATTCATTCGCAGAAGTATTCTTAGTTTCATAATCATTAACTTAATGTGGGGAGAAAGGCAAGATTTCGCGATACACAAGCCAGCGAAAGGGTGAAAAACAGTTTCATGGCAGAATGGACACGTACTTAACCACTGTATTCCTGAAACGATTAAGTTCGATTTTAGAATTTTACTATTGAGAAGAATTAAGTATCTATAGAATAATTGTTTAACAAAAAATTATCATACTGACCTTTTCCTCCTGCTCAAAAAATGTGCGCGAAATGTTAGGTCATAGGAACATTCAGCCGCCATCTTGTCTTCGATGTACTGTTTTACGAAAGGAAAGACTGTCCTCTCAAGGGTGATAGCGAGGCTACAATAAACTTGCTTTCATCGTAGAAATACCTTGATACCTTAAAGAACATCTTTGTGGAACGTAGCATCCAATACACATCATTCAGCTCCAGAAAACAGCCTGCAAGTGCTGGTACTGAACATAAACAATTCACAGAAAATGCTTCTGTGGCACTTCAACAGCCCATATTGACGCATGTGCATACAAAATGCCCTCCTGTTCACAGTGACCACTTCTTGTAAGCGACCATCTCCTGTATGCAACCACTTTGCAAATAATCATTTTGTTCAAACTCGGTAATTTTACTGTATCAAAAATGTGTCTGTGACTGCAAGCAGTTCTTAAGTGAAGGCGACCAATTTTTGGGCCAAAAATTTGTCATATTTGCTGCATGTAGTTTTCTGTTTCCAGTAAGCAACCACTTTGCTTGATCATGAATGATCATATACCTGCCAACACTCAGACATTATACATGAGTATCATGCCTGCAGACTAAAGACATTGATCTCGCGCATTATCTGTTTCAAAGTATCAAGTACAAAGTTTCTACAGCACACTGTATGGAGGGGGACATTGGGAAGTATCCAATACCATAAGAAAAATTGGCAAATACCGAAATGCTGTGTCAAAAATCAACGAAATACCGATACTGCATTTATGATCACTCACGTTTACTAAAGCTGTATCCATCTGGCGTGTTTGTTTACCTCTGTATGCACCAGAAATCAACCTCAGACATTGCAAGAAAACGTGAGAAGACCTTGATCGGTAGAATGATAGAAAAGCCCGGTCACTGGACGCCTTTCCAATTTCATCATAGATTGTGTAATCAGTAGTGGGGAAGGGACCTGTTACTCCGGTTTTTTGTGGATTTAATTAACTTTTTGAGTGGTATAAATTAACGCAGATGACGTCATGCATCTCATTAAGATGGGATGATGTCATAGTTTAAATTAATGCCGATGACATCATTCATTCCATTAAGATAGGATGATGTCATAGTTTAAATTAATGCCGGTGACGTCATGCGTGTCATATAGATAGGATGATGTCATAGTTTATTTGTAGCTGGCAAGGAGCAAGTGACATCAGAATTTCCTAGAGTTGACGTCATCAAAAAATGTTGAGATCATAATCTACCATATAAACAAAAAACTGATTTTTATATAATTAGCTATTTGCTATAGTCTTCTGATTAGATATTGATTGCTGTAGTCTTCTGATTGGATTTTGTAGAAATTGTCATGTGTTCAAAATAAAAGCAGGCAAATTTTGAACGTGTCATCTTTGCAGATTATATACTAAATGAAAAAATCTTTAATCATTAACTTATTTTCACTAAAAATCGGTTATAAACAAAACCAAGACACAGAGGTACCACTCAAAAAGTTAATTAAATCCACAAAAAACCATTATAACCGGTCCCTCCCCCACTACTGTAATCGTTTACCATTAAGTCTAAAGCCTTAAAATATTAACTTTTATTAACCTGTTTAGTTTACTGTTGTTCCCTTTGCACATTGTATTAGGCAGGAGAGCGCAAGTAAATGGTACCACAATACAGTGAAGGATCTAAGTTCTTTTACCGAAAACTGCTAACCAAAAGGATGAAAAACCGTATACTTCAGGTCTAGATGACAGCGCAATACTGCACATTAAAATCAAAATTACCAAAATGCCGCTTGAAAAAAAGCTCAATACTGCAATACCGTAAACCCCCATGTCTCCCTCTGAGTATGATAAAATTTGCCTAATTTCAGCTTATTATAAGATATTATAAAATGAAATGTAATTACATTAAGCAACCGAGTTTGAGCTTTATTTTGTCAGTCTTTGCAATCTACAGATGTCCACCTAATGACTACTTTGTCATGCCCCAAGGGTGGTTGCATGCTCACAAGAGAGTCTAATGTACTCTTTAATATTAATTAGGTATAAAGAATATTGTCATTGCTGGAGTGTTTTCTCCAGCTTCTGGAAGACAAGAACTACAAGTTTCTGAGATCATCAAATCCACGTACCCAGAAATGAGCATGACCCTCTCTCATGAGGTGGGACTTATAGGACTTCTGGAACGTGAGAATGCATCTGTTCTAAATGAGAGTCTAAAGCCCCTTTGTCAGCAGACAGTGGAGGCATTCTGTGAGGCTTTAAAGACATTAGGCCTAAGATGTCCATTTTATCTCACACAGAATGATGGCACCATAATAAGGTAATTAGTGCCAGAAACATTAATTTTTATTTTCTGTAATGAGTTTATAGGACGGATCTGTTCCTTATAGTGACTGTGGGTGTGTTTTGTGGGAAAATCCAATCTGGTTTTCCAAATCCAAAGAAGGATTTTGCATTTGTTTGAGCAAATCCAGAAACGGATCATGAACCCCTAAAATCCACACTCTGGGTGGATTCTTCAGATCAAATCCAAATCCAGATTTTTGAGATTCACAATCTGAGTGTTCTTTTGGGAAAGGATTTGAAAAAAGTATTTTTGACAAGCAATTTTCCAAACAAAAATGGTACACAACAGATGCCATTCATGTATGACATTCTAACTGAACCTAAGTTGGTGGCGCCTGAACTTGGAGCCATTAGTTACATATATCATTCCATGTTTGTTATCTATTTATATTTGTATACTGTTTTTAATCCCTTACTTGTCCTGTTTTTTGAACACATGTAGTGTCTACTTACACTGGTTTATTTTCCAAGTATTTTTAAAAAAGACAATTCATCAGTTTCAGTTTTAAATTCTTATAATAATTATAAGAATTAAAATTATTAATTATTAATTAGGAGATTAAAATTATTTTAATCTCCTAAGGTGTATTCTATTCGAGATTTGCGTTTTCAACCCTAATATCTACATTTTGTATATTCATACGTAGCCTTCTTGTATTTACCGCAAGGATCAGTTTAATGTTTTTTTCCCTCCATTTTTCTCATCACGAGAAGCACTAGTACATGCCGTTGTCATTGTAAATGATCCTTTTTTGGATCTTCCATTTTTTGGTAGTGAAAAACCCATATGATCTTAGATCGCAAATCCATTTTTGGATTCTCCCAATAAAAACGCCCCCCTGCAAGTTATCAGTATTTACACCAATATATACAATATTTTCAGTTCAATGGGCAGTTAGCTGTGTGACCAGGAACTGTTATCATTTATCCACAAATTTGGATAAAAATAACACACACACACACACTAAAGAAATAAGATAATAGCTGAAATTTAAGAAGACTGGAGAGAAAGTAACAGCTAAAAATGTGGTAATGTTATTTTTTTGCAAATAAATTTTGGTCCTTACACCTCTTTCTAATCAGTTTAGCTTAACATTAATGAAGTAGGGAAAGATATGGTTGAAGCGGACAAACCACAGAAACATATTTTTGTTACTTGAATAATCTAGTGCTGAACAAACAAGGCATCTTCCAGTTTTCACATTTGCCTCTGGTCCAACAAACTCCATGCGTGGGGCAGCTTTTTTGTCTGGAGTCCAGGATGCAATTGTGATCGATATTGGAGGAACAACAACTGATGTTGGAGTTCTTAAAGGTGGATTTCCAAGGCAGGCAGCTACACGTGTTAAGGTGAACGTATTTCACTGTTTCTTAACAGGCAAATACATTAAGATTAGATACAAACTGCTCCATAATAGACACTTACATGTATCAGTGTTTCTTGGTGTTCTTGTCACTTTGATTGACTCTATATATGACAGACTCTTTTCTAAGACGGACATTTTAAGTGTCAGTCCAGACATTGTCTGTCTGAGAGAGAGAGAGAGAACTGTGTGTTGTTCAAAAGCTTTCAAATCTTTGCATATGTCACAACCTATGTTGACTAGTTCATAGTATTATTTAACTGCTCTTGTTAATCTGATGAATGTAAATCAGCAGTGTGAACACCAACCAGCCTCCCAATGCCTGTATGTTTGTGAAGAGTGTTTAAATCTTTCCAGATGTTACTGTCTTAGTAGAGTAATTCACAATCAGTTAAGTGTAATATTTTTGTTTAACTGACGACTGTAGATTGGCGGCGTGAACACCAACTTCCGAATGCCTGATGTGCTGAGTGTTGGACTTGGTGGTGGATCTATAGTGCAACAGTCACATGTTAGTATACCATGATACTGGTCAATTTCGTTCCTAGTAAAAAGAATTGGTTCAGGTTTTTTGGCAAAGAAATTCATTATCCATCTAGTCACAGTCTAGTAATAGGGGGCCTCAGTTCTAGGTCTGTCTTGACCACTGGCTGGATTTGTTCTTGTTAACCTTGTGTTCAAACCCTCTGCCATGCTTGTAAATAGCCAATACTAGTCTGCCTCCAGCCAGCTGGGATTCTAATCCTACCCTTATGGGTTATAAATACTTCCAGGGGTAAATAAGGGAATTGTTATTTTTATCAATTTGGAGGATGCACAATATGTGGACATTTTGATGCTAGAAATGAGACGGAGATCCATTGGTCGCCAGTTGTCCACATTCACTCCTCTTTAATACATCTCTAGGCAAGTATAAACACAGCAAATGCTTTAAAAGACCTTAACATAGCTTGAAATTAAGGGCTGTCCAGTATGTGTTCTGACTCACCCAAAAAGTTCAATGGCAATGATTTGGTTTTAAAATTTAGAATTAACAGTTGGTCCCCTCAAAGGAAATCATAACAGTTCTGTTTTTAGGTGACAAGTTAAGGCGACAGACTAATTAGAGTTTTGTTTTAATTACCATAAAATTCTGAAAATAAGCCCCTCCATGTATAAGCCCCCCAAAACCAGTAACGTAAAAAACCCTCCGTTAAATCGCCCCTCCAAATATAAGCCCCCTGGGGCTTGTACTAGGAAAATTGCCCTCAAATACAAAGTAAAACAAAAAAAAATCGACAAATTTACTTTAAACTATAAGGCTAGTCCAATCGATTTTGAAACGCAAATGTCCCTCCGTAGATAAGCCCCTCCAAAAATAAGCCCCTCGAAAAGGGCCTTTGAAAAATATAAGCCCCGAGGCTTATTTTCGGAATTTTACGGTATTTGGATATTTAAGGTATTATCAGGATGACCTAATTTGTGGCTTTGATATAAGTTACAACGTTTTTGTGATTTAAAAAACTGCCCTAAGTTCCTCGAGTAATCGCTCCCCCTACAGACAATAAACACCAAGTTAACTATTCACACTGTTGCTACATTAACCCATACTATTGCTACATTAATCCATACTGTTACCACATTGACCCATACTGTTGCTTCATCAACCCATACTGTATAGGAAGGAGTAACAGTTGGGCCCACCAGTGTTGGCTATAAGTTGACTTCTGATGCTCTAGTATTTGGAGGAAATACCATGACATCTACAGATGTAGCTGTAGCTTCTGGGTTATGTGATGATGTTGGAGACAAAGAAAAAGTGAAGCAAATTTCTGAAGGCGTTAGGATTGGAGCAATGGAAGAAATAAAGAGGAAAATTGAAAGTGCTTTAGATCGGGTCAAGGTATTGTGCAAAATTTCTACCGCATTAAATTTATGATTTTCATCCTATTATTGTGATATTCTCAGAATATGCTCCAAAAAGTTGTTTAAAAGATTGCCACTTGAATTGAGCCAAAATGAAATCTCTCTCAGATCCTGTATATTAGAATGACTTGGAATAGAACGGCTTGTGGAAGTTTTTGCTTCCTCTATCTCTCTGTGCCAGGCTCTCAAGATGAGCAAGGGAAAAATGGCGAGAAGAGAGAATGGAAGAGCTAGTCTGTTCCTTGCCTGCATGCAGACGATAACAGTTTACTAAACTCTGATTAGTACCGTCTGTGAAGCAGCGCAGAGATCCTTGTTCTGGACCCCCAACGGACTCAACGAATTACCGGAAGTGCATTTCGAATTCCCCTTCAACCTGATTGGCGATCACGACAAACAAAACAAAGGCCTTTTTTAACTGGCCAATCGTGGCGCGTACTCAAATCTGGGTACACAGCTGGAAGTCCAGAACAAGGATTTCGGTGCTGTTTCGCAGACAGAGTTAACCAGAGTTTAATTTCGTCTGCACGCAGGCTAGTCTGTTCCACATCGGTTCTGTGTGTCATTGTGTGACGACACAAAGAACAGCTGTGTAGCAGACCAGGAAAGAGCCTGCAAGCATAAATATGAACACCTCACTTCACCTACTACCCTGCCCACTTCCTGAAAACCATTTCTCATATCAAAATGTTAAATGTACAAATGTGTAGGGCTGGGAAAGTTTCACACATTTTTCAGATTTGTTTGACTCTGCATGTGCGAAGCCAAGTGAATGACAAAAGTGTTGACGTAAACTGCAAAAACTGACTTGGTCAACCACAGGGTGTACCAGGAGCTGGTATACTGAAATGAGGTATTGAAAACAATGCTTACAAGCTTCACTTTTCCATCTCTCTCCAACCAATGAAGTTTTCGCGTCAAGTTTTCTCGATCTGCTTTCCCTAAAATCTTGAAGCCTGAAACAGGCTGTAGAAATGATATACCTTGTGGACCATCCCACGTGGATGAACCCTCCTGAAGCATAGGGTTCTGCTTACGTAGCTGTAGCTAGCAATTGGGTGGTCATCGCTCAATACAATCACGCCACATTATAAAAATAACCTTAAAATTCACCCGAGGCACTTTAAAATATTTTTGCTGAACACTAAAGGGAAACCTTTCTGTTAAACAGATCAGTGGTGAGGAACAGCCTGTTATCCTTGTCGGTGGAGGCAGCATTCTTGTAGATGTGACTCCTACTGACAGGACCAAGATTCTGAAAGGAGCCTCAGATGTGCTGTGTCCTAAGCATTATCAGGTACCATCATGGTGAAATGTGATATTCTAGGATACAGGATTTTGTGGAGCAAATCCGAACAAGTATATATGTGAATTATAATTTCCCATGAATATAACCCCCGGCTACTTCCATAGGAAAATAGAAGAAAAATAGAACCAAAAGAAATCCCTAACTGCTTAATTCCTCTTCATAAGAGGTTAGCCTCCTCTTGTCTCCGTCTTGTCAAAGCCTTTGAGCCTGGACCTCAGCCCGGACACAAAAGAAAACGTATGGTGCTGACTTGATTCAGAAAGTAAAATAGCTCATAAGCTAGTCTGATATTCCTTTGTAGGTTGCAAATGCAGTTGGTGCTGCTTTAAGCAAAGTCAGTGGAACGTTTGATCAGGTCGTTCCAATGGACAACACAACAGGTGAGAAGGCACGTGAAAACGCCGAGAATGAGGCACGTAGGAAAGCAGTGGAGGCTGGGGCTGACGAAAAGACCTTGGAAGTGATTGATGTGATGGAGGTTCCTCTGGCATATCTCCCTGGAAATGCCGTGCGTTACTTTTTAAAAGTTGTAGGAGACTTAGCAGAGTCTGAGGCACAAAACCTGGAGCAATTAACGGATCAAGGTACAAAGGTCAAGTCAATTTTGAGACTTTTCTTCTCTATTTTCTTAAAACAAACGGAAAGGAACCCGAGAAAACCTGAACGGCGAGCGTGAATGTTCCTCGTACCCCTTCATGCTGCACATTGTCTGCTCAAGCTCCTTCGTTATGGAATGAAATAGGTGGTTGGGAACAGTCTAGTGAGTGAAGTGGACAAATGAAAATACAAACGAAGGGTGGATGAAACAATAACCAATTGAAAACGTGAAGCACCTAACCAAACAATTTAAAAACGAAAGAGCGAGCTATGCACGGTTGTTTTCCTAACACAAATTTCTCTTTGTTCTGTTTTTGGACCAGAAGGTAAGGGTTTATTGTTGGCACTCAATCAAGCTATTTGTTTTGTTTTGTTTGTTTGTTTGTTGTCCTTATGTTGGATTCGATTCTAGTTTCTTGCCTGTAAAAGTAGAAGTGGTCATTGGTCTTATCAACCGTAAATTTCTTTTCAGGGACGAAACCAAGAGAAAGTGAATCGGTGGCGCTTTCCGCATCGATCCGGCGGCCAGAATCCCCTGCTGCTCCTATAGAGCAAATGAACGTAAAAGAAGAAGAACATGAGGCCAATTTGTGTAGAGATCCTCATATAGACCCTGAAACTGGAGACTGGCTTCTAAATGAGTTTGATATTGAGTGCATCGCTATTGGTGCAGGAATCATGGGATGTGGGGGAGGAGGGAGCCCCTACCTTGGTAGATTAAAAGCCTTGGAACTTCTTAAGGCAGGCAAGGAAATCCGTGTTATTCACCCTAACAGGTGAGAATACAGACGTAATCATACAACGGTGGACGCGTTTGTCTGTTTGTAGATGTGGAGAGTAGGCGGAAATAAACTTATCTAAAATACCCACATCGCTGTCACTGCTCAAATGTCATCACCTATTCCACATTTGAATGTAACTTGTTACCAGCCATACTGTCATGAACCTTCTTGGTTTGTTTTACGATCATATCCCATAACTGTACACTCGTTATGTTTCAGAGCCCCTGAAAAAATTGATTTTTCAAACCGTGATATCGAGTACGAAGCCTCAGTTTTTTCCTCCGCTGTAAGAATCAGTTTTGTACTTTTTATTTTTTTTAGGAGAGTTAACGTTATATATCTTGCAGGTTAGGATCAAACCCACAACTGACAGGAAAAGTAGGAGTTCCTTGTTTTATGGGTGCGCCAGTGATCATCATTGAAAGAATGTTCAGCGGTCGTGAATGCATTTCATCGCTTGAGGCAGCGGCAGCGATTGCATTCAATCAAAACCAGGTCAAGGAGAAGACAGGAGATGGGATACATGAAGCAGAGGACGTCCAAGACCTCATAAAAACAGAGGTAAATTTAGTTCTCCAGTATTCGCTCGACTCTTACAACCGCCAGAACTCAACATTTTCCTGTCTTGTTACTTCGGCGGAGCGCGAAGTAAATGATTCGCGACGCTCAGGAATGTATCAAAGTTGCAATTTTTTGACAAGATTGGGCAAGCAAAGTCTGTAGGTTTTCGGTTCTCTTCGGCTATTTGACGAAGTGAGAGCCGAATTAGTTCTAGATATCTCGAGATCACTTCGATTTCTTTGATTTATTCTTTAACTTTTTCGAGGAAGAAAGAATTATTATTTTGGCTTTCCCGGGGTTTGAACCGACTCACCTGTGTGACCCGTCAGATCAGAGGAGACTCTAAGTTGAGGGATTAGCCGATTGCGCCACTGCGACCCAAGGTAGTTTGGGATATCAAAAATAGTTATGGAATGATGCACTAGTTTCGGGACAAAATTGGGCGTGCAAGTTCGTGACTTTTCGGCTTGTTTCAACTATTTCACGAAATGAGACCGGACTACTTCGTGATATCTTGAGATCACTTCGAGTTTAGTCTTAAATTACTCGAGGAATAAATAGACGATATTTTGTGGCCGCGCGGAGACACGAAATTTCTCTTCGAGTGTTGAAAACATTTCACGAGTGAGCCCTCCTTTCGAACAGTGTTTTATGATGAATTTAAAGTTACAAAATGCTGCACAAAGACATTTTGTCCTTGTTGAGTGTTACGTAGAAAAATTGCTTTCATGCGTTGCGTGACTTTCTCGAACGTTCTCTACGTTTTTGGATTATTCATGAATAATTAATTAGGGCATGTTTACATTTCAGCATGAGTCAACAGATTTGCATCAGTTACTGAAATCATAAAATATGTCGAAAAGCTACTACTATTCGCCTGTTTAGTATTTTCTAGAACCTTATGTCAAACGGTATACAAGTTCCAAGCGAGTTCTTATGACGAACTAAGTTTTTTCCCACGAGCTGGACTGCTGTGTTTAGTCAAGTGTGACGAGGGTCGATTTTCAGGTTCTGTGTTCACAAGTTCGCGGAAGCCGTAAGATATCTGAAGTTCAAGTGAGAGTTTGTTATTATTGGTAGATGCTGTTTACTTTTACTCAAAGTTCAAGGGAAGTTTGTATTGGTGGATGCCGTGTTTTAAAGCTCTGTAAAGGCTATGTTCCTTTGGTGTTAAACTTCCTTGTGTTAATCCGACATCCCTGCGTGCTGATAGTAAATGAATAATTATCCTCAAAACATTCGAACTCGTGACTTTGAGTTTTAGCCAATTCCATGCTCAACGTAATTGACTCCTTACCCATGCCTTACATTTCTTTAATCAGCACATGAGACTGCTATGCTGTTTTTGAAGCCTAATGTGACTATGAAAAATAGAGAATTGTTTTTTTAGAAGGATTTGTATGGAGTCATCAGAGCATAACTGGGCTAATATCTCGGAGACAATTTGTCCCGAAATGCTAGTTTTTGGCAAGTAGGCCTCTTGGATGTTGCTCTTCTCAGAATATCCTGACAAATGCCATAATTTCACAAATTAACACCTTGCTCTTACCATATTTGATTTCTTACTATTCCTCCGCATTTGCAATTAATTAGTTCCACAACCACGACGCCGAAGTGTACGCTCCGTAGCGTCTTGTTATTCTAAAACTCTCGCGTGAACGAAATTCTACAATGTGCCATAATCAACTGAACAAAACACAGGCGGCCCAAGCTCGGTGCATAAATTACCGCGAGTTTCGATACTGTTTTGCATGTTACGAACGATTAAAAGACTTTGTATGAGAAATTCAATATAGTTGTTAAAACGCAGAAACATAGGCACAAATATAGAAATAAATTGTATTTACGTAAACTTACGCGGACGTTTTATTTACGCTCATCCAATTAGATAATTCCAAACACCGCTCACGCGCAATCAGTAGGCTATCAGAGGGTAGGAAGATCCATGTTTTGTCATGCAACGTTGATTACTCGGATCGCCTGAGTCCATGTTCGCGTTCACTACGAAACACGAAGTCATCGAGTTTCCTGGGCGCACGTCAGATTGCCCAGAACCAAAAACTTTCATAGACATTTCCCACGAATAACACATCGCAATACCCATGACGAGGGGAAGAGATAAGAGACTGACCTGGCCTAAGGATTCGGCGCTTTCGTCGTGAATCGGTGCGCGGTTCTTTGATGCGGGAGAGATTTGTGAGCTGAGACTGCAGACAGTAACCTGCCTTGCTTCACTTTATGTAGGAAAACAACACCGAACAAACAACGAGCCGCAAAACCGTATAAAATAGCCATGAACTGAGCCCAGGTTAGAAAGAAAAGCAACAACAGGCCCAAGTTAACGAAAGTATAATTTATTTCTATATTTATGTCTATATTTCTGCGTTTTAACAACTATATTGAATTTCTCATACAAAGTCTTTAGATCGTTCATAATATGCAAAACAGTATCGAAACTCGCGGTAATTTATGCACCGAGCTTGGGCTCTTTCGGTTGCGCTCTTTACCATAGACTCTACTCACCAGATGGTTTGGAAAAAGACATTTCTAGAGAGTTGACCGTAGGTAAGAGCTCCCGGCTCCGGAGGGCACGTGCTGTACTTAGGAAAAACGGCATAGCCTATGAAAATCGGTCACACCACGGTCGGCTAAAGAATTAGGTGTCTGGGTAACTAGCGTAGAAATTCCATACTGATGACGTATCACCACTGGGTGAACTGAACTGAAAAGAAACACTGGGTAGTGTTTCTGTTTGGGCGTGCTGCGAGGAAAGTTTGCTTTAACCAATCAGAAGCGCTACCCAGATCTGGGTAGTGACACGTCATCAGTACTGAATTTCTGCTCTCGTTTCTCAGACGTCATTTGGCGGGGGACCAGTGGTAGTAGAGAGTTTTAGATCCGAGTTTACCGCGAACCTCTAACCGCGGTTTGCCGTTACCCGTTTGCGGTTCAACGTTCAAACATAATTCGATTTAGATTGGTGGTGGATTAAAGAAGTGGATTCCGCTTTATTTTTCCACTTAGAAATAGAAGAAAAATCAGTCAGTGAAAATAAAAGAAATTTACGGTAACACTGGGTTATCTAGCAGCAAAGAGCTGTAAATTCTTACATTAGTTCTTCTTGCAATTTTACGGCCGCCATCCTGAACCAGCAACCGTGAATGGCACTTGTTTTCAAGATCCAATAGGATTTATCAAATTTAGCATTTCGCCCGTACTTTGTGCCTTTGTTAATGGATAAAGACTTGCTCCACAAGATTTTTGTATCATTACGTGGGATAAAACAAGATTTATACGCTAAAATCTTTCAGGTAAATGACATACGTGAAAACCTATCTCCCCACGTTGAAAACGCACGTCGTAAACCTCAAACGTGACGCGAAAGACTTGTCACGTGACCTCCAGCGGTTAGAGGTTTGCGGTAAACTCGGATCTAAAACTCTCTAGTGTCGAAAATTGTCGGCTCTCAGGCTAAGAAAAGCAGAATTCAAGATTTTTACAGCTCCGACTGAGATAATCGAAATGTCGAAACTTTTAAGATTTAACAGCATCAATTTCGCTTTATATCCTTTTAGCTTCCATCCACAAAGAAACTAGTTGCGTTAGTGTGTGCTGAAATAGGCGGTGCCAACTCCATTGAACCTTTAACAGTAGGTGCAGAGCTCAATATCCCTATTGTGGACGCGGATGGCATGGGCCGAGCCTTTCCTGAGCTACAGATGTTTTTGCCGTTTGTTTATGGCTGCCCACCGTACCCTGCGGCCGTTGCTAACGAAACTGGTCATGTGGCCGCTGTCACGTTTGCTGATGGTGCTAAGCGATTGGAGGATTTCCTCAGAATGAAAACACTGGAAATGGGGTAGGTATTATAATCATGCGAGACCTTGGCCCCTCAAAACATTTGGACCGGGCTTTTCGAAGCTGGATTGATAACGTAGGATTAGTTAAAAATCTGAATTTTGACTGAAAGTGTTAAAAAGCAAATTGTGTGTAATTACTTTTTGTCTACAATTTGATGATTGAATGCGCGAAAAAGAATTGAAAAAATCATCCGTGAAAATTCTTTTGACAAGAGGTAAACCCCAGGTTAGCGCTATTCGACCTTTGAATAACTGGACCCTGGGAGGTTAAGCACTATATCGCGGCAACCATTGGCCTCAGAATTTTGTTTTACTGATTGTAACTGATATATCTGAATCTCATATTCTTTATCGTAGGTGTATGGCTGGGTTATCGTTCATTGTTAACTGGACAGATATAAAGGATAAGTTTGCCCTGTACTCTCTGAGCCGAACCCGGCGCTTAGGCAATGCAGTATTACGTGCAAGACACAATAAAGAGTCCCCTGTAGAGAGCATTCTACAACATGAGAATGGCAAACTTTTGATCACTGGAAAGGTTTGACAAATGTTCTTGTTTGTAATTTCTGTTTCGTCGTCCTCTTGAAACAAGGTTGCGTTGCTTTTACTGCCCAGCTCATACTATGGAAAGTAATGGTAATAATAGATCCCCATAACTGAAAAAAATAATAGTAAGTAACTATACTTGAAGGTCAATGACTTGACGGATCTCATAAAGAAATGAAAACAGCCAGAGAGCTGATAACCAAGCAAAAAAAGCATGATAGATGTCCGGCATTTCTGATGGTTGTGACTTAAAACCGTTTACCAGTACTGTATATTTTATGTTGGTTTTAGATTGCTGACGTGAGCCGTGTTACGGAGGGTGCCTTCAACAAGGGCAGGTTGACAATTGAAGGTTCTTCACGTTTTAGTGGCGTTAACCTTGAAATTGAATTTCAAAATGAGAACTACGTTGCCTTTACATCAAACCCTGATGGCTCTAAGAATATCCTGGCTACTGTACCAGACCTCATTTCTTTAGTAGAAGAAGACACAGGGGAACCAGTCACCACTGAGGAAGTCCGTTATGGTTTGCGAGTCGCTGCAATATTTATGCCTTGCTTTCCACTATGGACTAAACCGCAAGGGTTGGCCACCGGCGGACCAGCCGCATTTGGTTATCAAGATGTGACGTACGTTTCTGTGAATGCCTATAAAGAATACCCACCCTTCCCTAGATATTGACGGTTTTGTCACTCTTTTGCGAGACCAAAATGTAGTAGTTCGTTGTTAACCATCCCACGGTGACAGACTTTGGTCCTTATAGCAGGTGGTATTAAATTGAATAATAAACATCACAGTTTCCGTACTTTCAGGTTGTAATCAGCTATTTGTTTTACTTCACATTATATCACACCCATTAGCTGGTTCTGTAAGTACTAACGAAGTATGTTATTCATCCGAAACATGTCTAGAAAACTTAAAACAGTCTTAACTCTGCCCGCTTAAAATTATAGATATCCCATTTATGACATAGCTAGATGTGTATGACACTATCTAAATTAAGATTTAATGTTAATTTCGATGCAAACGAAAATATTCAAATATGATCAAATTAAGTGTGATAACCTTATTTAATAAGTGTGGTCTCTTCAGTTTTTCTCTCCGGAATAGTTTATCATGTGAACGACTCCACGCGCTTCTTTTGTGGGCGGGTCTCACTTAAGCTTCTACACACCTGTGGCGTCTGACAACCCCCCTAGGACCCTGCCCCCCCCCCTCCCCTCCTCCTCCCCTCCCCCATTAATCCTGAGCAAATGAAAGGCTGCTCTTTGTTTTCTTCTTCAGAAAAATCGAGACTCTCCGGAGAACGAAAAACCTAGAAAGTATTCTCCTGACCTCAGAGGTACATTTTTCACCTCCAGCTTTTTAGCAATCCGACCTGTCTGTTAAGGGTTACCTAGTAAAACTAATTCTTTCCCTCGGGTCTATGAGGCCAGGAGGTCAAGTTCCAGGTGCCAGTGGACCAGTTTGTATCACTGGAATTGGCTTTCAGTCGAGACCACTAGCGGGAATTCTCACTATAGCCTCGACTGGCAGCTTCCAGTGACGCGACTATGGTCTATTTGCTTTGTCTGCATTCCCATTCGTTACCCGTTCGAGTTTACTTGCTGCAAAAATGTAACATGAGATAACCGTCACGATGCTAGCTCCCTTCAGCAGCATGGGGGTATACTTATATTGGGAGACACTAGACCTATGCGATAAAACACGCGATAAATTTTTAAAGTTATTGACACTGGACAATCTTAGATTAAGGAGAAATTTCTTTATTCACGCAAGGAATTAATTCGTTTTATAAAAGGAAAGTTTGCCCCAATAGTCCTCGCATTGATAAAGAGGCTTACAGCAACCCGGGATGGGTTTTCAAAAGTCAGGTATAGCATTCTGGAACCAGGTACAATGGTAATAGGTCCAATAGCTACACTTTAAAATTAACTTGCAGAAGTATTGTAAAATTTATCCCAGGTTTCTCCCTTGGCGGCGTGTTAAGCGCAAGTCTTCATTAGCTTTTTTGCGTAACATAACAACATGGTAGAGAGTGTTTTGCCCGGGGCAAACTTCTAACTTCACACGCAACGAACCTAATTCCAAATGAGCGAGAACAATGGATTTTGCTCAGTAGCATTAGGTTCGTTACATGTGAAGTTCGAGATTTTACCGACCCTGAAAATCACGTTTATGGCAAATAGCAAACGTGGATTTGTGCCACGTGTCCAATTCCTCCCCGTATTTAATATATTAACACAAATAAAAGTAGTACCATTCCAGCAGTTTCGTCCTTGAAAATTACTTTGCACGGCTTTTATCTGCTCATTTCCTAGCTTTTCTGGGAATTTGTCAATTTGAATTTGACGTTTCTTTTTTTCAGTCAAGGTGATGATTCAAGTCTCCTTATTCTCACAAACCAAACAACTACTTCATAGTTGTGTCTCTGCTACAATAACGTTTCCACAGAAACTCGTGGATGATTTCGTATAACCTTATTATAAAGTTATAGTTGTACCTAATGCGCTACCTCCTTTTATCTTTCGACAGTTATATATACCATTTGAACCATTATTAAATCCCCATTCCACCGAGGAGGGAACTTCATTTGAGAAATCAACTTGCTTTTTCTGGTTTTTCTTCAAACGCCATGCCCTTATCATCATACATACACCAATAACAAAGCCACAGCAAGGCCAGAAGAACACATGAAAAGCTACCGTCTCGTGAGCGTTTATATCAACAAGAACCTCTTCGGGTTTGCTTGGATTAAAGTAACATTCCAGAACTGAACCATTCCGTCCCCTCTTTCGTTCATACTCCTGCACAGACGCAATGTTTTGCTTTTCGTCAGTCTTGCAAGGCGGTCCGTAAGTACACTAGGAGTCAGTACAGGAAATGAAACCAATTTAGAAACCAGTCGCAATTACAATTTTGAAATCTTTGTTTTGGGGCAACAAAAGTTAGCAGAGTTAGGGTCATCTTATGCAAATAAACTCAATACCCACATCAAAAACTAGATGCATAATAAAGAGCGAAACTTTGAACGAGACCAATATGTTCTTGATCTGAACGTTCTTAAGTCGGTTTTCTCTATCCTGGCGGAGATTGCTTCATTTTACACTGCTTGTACGCATCACCAAAAGATCTCATCAAACAAAAGCACAAATACCAAACCATACATGTCATTCTCTATGTTCACACAGGATCCTATGCACATGATTCACACTAAACCGGATAACTGAGAATCTGTCCGGTATTCTCAAAAATTCAAACGAAGGAATTATCGATTCTTTTGAGTTTCTACTTTCATGAGGAAGTACAGCACCTAAACACCTTTATTTATACAAATTTTCGGTTTGCGAAAGGATTCTTCGTTTTGGAGAAAGAGGACGCTTGAATTTCCAGGCTTTTGCCTGACGCGGCATTTATTAGCTGGCGGTCGGGAAAGCTCTTACGTGGGTTAAAAACGTTACTGATTTTTGAGATTTTGCTATCTAAACATTCCTTGTCTTAGATTAAATATGACTCTAATCTTTATGAGTTCCTCAAGCGATGAATTCACACATTTGTAGGAAAAGTCAAGACAGATGTTTCTGTTGGCTTTCAGCGGCCATTTGTGCCCCTCAAATGGCCACCAACATGGCGTCTCCAAAGTGTTATAAATTTGGGCAAAATATATACCCGAATATCTCGCATATGAAATATCACACAGACCTGATTCTTGGCGAGGCTTTTCATTTCCAAGATTCTGGGCTTTCTGTATTGAATGGTTTGCATTTTTATTTTTGATGACGTGACAGTAAAAAAAAAAGAGAATAGTATAACGGCACAGAAATGGAACAAGGCCTTCACACGCATCTTGCAGGGACCGGAGCGGTTGGCCGAGAGGGCTTAATGTACTAAAGAATATTTACCGATTACCGAATGACGCTTTTGTCTCTGTGGGTTTCAGTCCTCGCTCCTAGGCATAAGGGTTCCCACTGCACCAAAGTGTGGCACAGAACAGCTCCACTTTCGAGATTGGCGAGGCGTCGGCAGCTTCGGGGGCTCGTTACAGAAATCGCGCCTAAATCACCGTTAGTCTTATAACTGAACAGAAGCTATCCGGTAGAGTGTGAATATAGCCTGAGTTAAATTTAGTTCTCGTACATCAGAGAAAAGACACCTGCTTTGCACAGTTGAGTGTCTCAGTTCAAATGATCTTGTTAATTTGACAGGTGGCGTGGAGCCGTTGACTTTGGCCTGTTAATTTCCTCGCGTTTATAAATAGCCCGGTTATGATTAAAACCCCATGTAGTCCGGCTTTATTAAAAAGTGGGCCAGGATACAGTAGGGTGCATTCTGCTCGATGAGCACGCTATCCATTCTCTGTGAGCCAAGTTGCCGAGTACCTGTCAGGTTTTCGAACAGAAATTTTGAAACCTGACTTCACGGGTTCGTTGGCAAACGTTGACTGGGAGAAAAATTATACCGTGTAAGATGCTGACGTGGCATTATATCGACCTTCAGCGGCAACCTTTTTCGTTATAACGAATGTATATATGATTAGCATGTTATGCTAGTTTTATAGCTTGTGTCAATGATACTACCATACTAAAGCAAAAGATGTATAAATAAACTTCATTAAAATCATTTTAGGTAGCCAAAATGATTATAAATAAAGTCGATGCCTATTTCATCATCATCACGCCATGCAGCGAACTAGGAGAAACTAAATATCTCAGTAGTTCGAACACTACAGTGCCAGTGTTAGTAATTACAGCGCAAAAAAAAAAATACCCAGAGTATAAATAACTAACCTCTGTAGCTCTTTGTGCAAACAAGCGCAATAATAATATGCACATTGAAGTGTGACGCGACCAGATGGACAGTGTTTATTTATCTAAGAAGACCTTCAAAAAACTGATGTCCTTTTTTTTCTCGCTTCCATTTACTAATCTACAAGTTTTGCGTGACAATAAATAAGTTTTAAACTTTCCTTCTCCCTAAAAGAGAATGATATCCTTAACTGTTTTTGGTCATTCTTTTTTCATAAAAATTTGCATTTTCCGATTAACTTTGCATTGTTTAATTAAAACACGACGATTTGTTGACCGAATGCTTGAGTTGCCATCTTGGCACAAAACATTTCTTATCATGTTGGTATCATCCTGAAAAATAAGTGATGATTTTAACATGTTTTAAGCTTTGTATTTTCCATAGGATGTGGTTGTTAACACTAGCAGTTTCTTAAACGTATTTGAAATCGCACAAGTGTGAGTAAATAGCGGCATCATAGGGTACTTACGTTAGATCCTAGATCGTAGATGTTGTTGTACAATAGAACAAGCTTGGATGATTCGCTTTTCTCCGCCCTATTATCGATAACTCTGACCATTACTTGCAAGCATGGATACTGGCTAATGCAGGGGTGCATTCCACAAGTACAGCTCTCACTTTTGCCTGTAATAACAGAACCTTCCACTACACAATTTGCGCCCTTATAACTGAAGCCTTTTGCTATTTTTCGAACGACATCCAAACCCAGAAATACCATAAAAAATCCAGCTACGAAAATAAACGCTGCCGCTCCAGATAAGCACTTTAACTGGAGTACTTGTCGTTTCTCTTGTTTCAGAAGTTCTTCATATACTCTTCTAATCCTCATCGGAAAGGCGATCAGATATCGACAAGATAATCACAATCTTAATTCCGCTGAGAGCATTGTGCCGTAGTTCACCACTGACTGCTTAGATTTGAAATGCATATTCCTTTTACACACACAGTAGTCGGAATCTCTGCTCTTTTGTTCAGCTGGCAGCATGGCGTATTCAAGTGCTGTTTTTTATCTTCAAGAATAACCAGCTCTATCTAAAACTATAATGAATATTCATCAAGTCAAGCGGAGTACTTTCAGAAATAAGCGCCTTAGCCAATAGAGGGTAACATGCACAAGAAGGCGATTGAACGTTATACATTTGTATTCGGCTCTCGCTCACTGAGTTATTCCGTACAGGCAATAATTGTGGATTAAATCGGTTTAACAAAGTACCGGATAACGAGTGAAAATGACGCCACCCTCAAACAGACTATAACAGACTTGCGGTATACCAGCCGTCTTTCGCTATTTACCACCAAAAAGCTATATAGGCCGCTTGCATAGGGGTTTACAAGACCCATGCAAAATACCAAAGTTCATTGTGAGTCTTGCGGCAAAAATTTAGTCTGTGCCAGTTCCGCTGTCCATTTGGTGACCTCAGCATTTTCTAATTTTCACCTCCTATACGTTGGGTTCGAAGGTCTGTTAACTGTGCTAGTTCTTTGTAACACAGCATCCTTCTCTTCTAATCCTGAGGATTAGGAGACAGGGTTGGAGAGAATTAGAAGATTAGAAGAGGAGGACACCTTAAACGCCCAAATACGTAGCGCACCATATACTTTGCTAAATTTTTATCGACTCTTTGCCGCCATTATTCAGACTGTTGTTATAGCCTGAACTGGGCCACTTGTAGTTTTTCTTACAGCATTTTTAAATCGATGTTAAACAGTGTAGCAAAAAGTGGCTTTCTACTTAGTAGTTTCAAAAAGTGATGTAATTCAGCTCGAAATACGAAACAAATTTGTGACAAACTAGAAGCATAGGCAGACAGTAAATCGACTGAATTTTAATAAAGAAAACTACCTGAAAAGCTAATCACGAATGTGTCAATGTTGTTCCTCTTTAAAAATTGAAAATGAAGCCCGTTTTCTTTAAATTGTTAGCAGATTACAATAAATGAAACCTGAATATATACATAAGTTATGCCACCGGTCCTTCGCCATAAAATGTTTTTTTTTCAGCAAAATATAGATTGTCTTATTGTGGGTCTTTTATATGAACAAAACTGGGTCAGTTTGAGTACGAAGCTTTACATATGAAAAACCCTTTAATAAGAAGAAGTATAAAATTTCTCATTATTGCAAATTATCAGCCCCAATTTCATAATTATGAAAAATTGTGTATTCTACTTTTGTTACAGTAATAACCTGATCCATTTACTGTTAATACTTTTTAACAAGTGCATGAGAAACGGCTTAGCGTGTACCACTGATCATGATCCAGTTACGGTTCCACGCGGGAGATTGCCAAGGCTGCATTCATTATGTATACTGCTGCAGAAGGGGCAGAGGATATTTTTTTAAAGGGGCAATTTTTTTTAATATCCCAGGACCCCCCACATCATACAGAATTTTTTGACAACCCCCCTCTTGACCAAAAGAAAAATGGCAACCCTTCCCCCCCTCTACCCAGTATGACGAGGAAAGTAACTGATATGGACGCACTCACTCACTCACTCACTCACTTATGCCCATGAATGCCTTCAGGCATGTAGGGTAGGAACAAAGGATCACCACTCCTGTCTGTTCTAGGCCAGCTTCTGAATGGTTCCCCAGGTGTGCTGTAGGGTGTTGAGCTCCCCTCCCACAGTCTGACGCCAGGAAAATATGGACAATATATATGATGAAATGGTGCACAGATTAATGTTTAAGATAAAATAACTAAAAACAAAAGCTAACCAAAGGCTCACAGATTTTTGTATTTCTGGTGTAAAGAAAGTTGTAAGAGATTATGATTATTAAAGCCAGCTGTGCCTCCGACTAAGAAATTGCATACCGGGGGGGGGGCCATGTACATGTGGCAGCTTAGATTCAATAATAAAATGCAATCATCCCTAGATAGGTTAAATTTGGGACCTGGACTAGCAAAGAACAAGACCAAGGGAAAAGAGGACAAACGAGAAAAAAAAGCCAACAAAAAGGGAGAAGAAAGCTATAAAACTGGTGCTTAAAGATATTGAATGGCCGGATCAGTTAAGTATGAAAAGAATAGGGAACTGCAAGTCAGCCTACCTCTGAAGAAAGGCCCACATACTTTACATTCAGTGAAATACAAATCTCTTCAAAAGAGGAGATGGAAGTTAATTCACTATTTTTAATAAGGCTACATAATTGCATCACCAAGTAGACAAAAAAAAAATGAATATAACATTTGTTATGCATCGGGTAAAAATTTACCTTTGTTCAAGTTTATTTTCCTTTTACCTGGGAATGGTTATGCGGTGAAGTATTTTTGAGGTTATTTTTAGTTTTGTAGATCAAGGTTAATCCGTATTTGTATCGACAGGTTTTCAAATTTTATTACCTTTTTAGTAGCTTTTCAACGTAAATGCCATTTTTTATATTTGGTGTCAGTATTTTGGCGCGCACACACATTTTTAGAGTCTCGCTGCTCAACTTTTATCCACATAACATTTAGATGTGGGAGATTACGTCCCGCGGCACCTTTAGTCGCCTTTATTCCCGGGGCTAAGGGGACAGCTGCCCATTCTGCTGTACAAGGGAAGAGATTGGCGATAAGGACAATTGGAGATTTTTAAATTGTAGCATTACCTGAAGAAACAGTTGGATCGTTTCAAGACAAAGCATATTGTGGATCATCAGTCAATGTCTTACACAAACCTGGTTAAAGTCACAATGAAAACAAGTTTGATGGGATATTTCAAATTAACGGATTGTTCCAGTTTAGTTTGCTCCTCCGCCGTTTTCAAATATACAGTATTCTCCAAGAACTTATACTGCTACAGGCCGCTAATTCCACCAGCGACGCAGACTAATTACTGAACCGAAGGTAATCTCGTTCTCTGTACAAACCAAGTTTTCTTTGTTTAGTAGGGAACGGGAAGATGCTCCTTTCCAAGCAAACATGCCCGGAATAAAGTGTATCGTCCTCTACGAAGTGAACTGATTACAGGAAATGTTCCAACTCATGCATTCTCTGAAACGGTGAAATAAGAAACTGGATGCAAAATTAAGATAAACCTCAGCGGTCTATGGTGTGATAAAAACGCTTTGAATCATTATTTAAAATTGGATGTTCTGGATGCGCACTGATGCGTCTTCTTCGTTAACCTGTAAATAGGCCCTACAGTAGCGCATAAGCTGAGCAGAGGGAGTTCCCGCTTTCTCCCCGTATCCCTCAAGTGACAGTCTCTTCACGACGGGCTACTTTTTCCACATTATTAGCAACCAAGAAATATGCGATTCTAGTTTCAGTTCACTTCTAAATTTATTCTGATACGTACACACGCACACACTAAAAAACTAACTTCAAATTCCAAGTGTCACCGCCGAAAAAAAAGGAAAAATGCTCTGCCCTGACTTGTTTTACCAAAAACAGGGAGCTCTTACAGCGCAAACAATGCTTTGCTTCCTTTTCCAACTTTTCTAAAGCTTTTCTTTAAAGAATCAAGATTCTTCTTTGTAAAATAAGATCTTCTCTTTGCCAGGATTTCCTCTTCTAGAGCACGGAACAGTGATTCTACTGGGACATCTGCATTAGAGAAACACCAAGCAGACTCGCAAATACCCTCGCGATTTAACTTATGTAAGTCATCTGTGGAAAAGGAGTTAACTAAACTTTCGTAGAATTTTGTAGTTCCTCTCTTGGCCTCGATAAAACCTCGCATTAACATACATTTTTGTTTTAAGGAAAACACTGTAACTCCCCGGTGAAGTGACTCCGCTTCAATGGTATCAAACATCTTACTCCCATAGTTCCTTGCTCTTCCAAGAGACCATGCAATTTGACATAATTGACCAGTGTCATACTGTTTAACATCCTTCAAACACAGTTCCCTTTCAATTTCTGCAACCAGCCTGTCATCGTGTCTCTGGGCGGAAAGAAACGCTCGTAGAATATGAACAAGCTCATGATTCTGAAACACCTGAGGGCCACGTTTTAAAACCTCTTTCTTGACAAAGTCAAACACTTTTGCTTTTGTAGCATTCCTTTTTGCAAAACACCAAACGATTTCTAACAAAGCAGCATTGTCTAATTTTCCAACACCCCTTGAGGTAAGTCCCATGTCCAGCAAATTAAACAGTTCTCTACTTCCCTTTTCTGCCGTTCCGAACGCCCAAAGGATCTGAGTGATTTCCTCGTGTTTCATATCAGCTGTTCCTCTTCTCAAAATTTCCTTCTCTACTTGGTGAAATAGCTCTTTAGGAAAGAACATCTTTTTTGCAAACGACCAAACAAATGCAGCTAAGCTACCACTGTCAATGCTTACAAAGTCTTTTGAGAGGATTTTATCCAAGAAAATATTCAACAGTTTTACCGGACAATTTTCTACCTTGGCATAAGACATCAGAATTCCTGAGAAACCACGATTATCAAAATGTTGAATCTTAACTTGCCCGTTTAAAATTGCATCCAGAATGCTCGAAAAAATGTCTGATGATGTTAAGTTCAGATTTACACATCCATTCACAATCTGACAGATGTTTGCATTGTTAAAGGCTTTGATGTCACGTGACATGATCTCGTTCTGACAAAGTGGAACTAATCTGTGGTCTTTCTCTTTTAGTTTCCCTAAAGCCCACAACACATTTGCAAGTCCCTGGGCATCACAACTGCTAATGTCCTTTGAAATACTTTCCAGTAGTTTCATGTACATGCTACTTTTCCCCCTCTGTGGCTTCTCTCTTTCTTGTTTCAAGGCTTCCTTTTGTTTTTCACTTCTCTCCGTGATCTTCACAATGTTAACAAGCGCGGTAACTCTGTTTACCATGTTTGAAGAACTCTTAACACTCTCAAACAATTCAAGTTGCTCTTCAACTGTCTTCAGTGATACTATTCTCTTGTTTATTTGAATATTTTCTCTAGATGGCCATGATTGATTCGTCAGAGCAGAATAGTCAACAAATTTTAAGAAGTATACTTCATCCATTTTCCTTGACGGTTTTGTCATAGCAAATGACAGCCATGATGTAGTGTACCTGTTATTAAGCCCTGTAAATGTCCAAAATGAAATCTTCTGAATCAGACAAGGGCAGAATCGCAGCAAACGTACACTTGAATAAATAGATGAGATCCCAGTGACTGTGACCATGATAAGCTAAATATCCTTATTCCTACAATGAAACAAAAAGTAACATTCAATAAAATTTTGCGGTAATAAGATTCCCTACCCGTAAAACATAGTGCTGACAGTATAGCGTAACTTACTTGATGAAAAAGGAAATTCAGGGGCGTGGCTAGAGGGATCGGTCACAGTTTGTCACACTCAAGGTACTTACCAGTTGACATGTCGACATTCACGCCGTGTTGTACTAAAAGTGACATTTTTTTCGGATAAGCAGTGAGCGTGGGGGGAGGGACAGATGCATAGATGAATTAAAATCCACGTAACATAAATTACTCTATTTTTAGTCTCAATGCTCATCAGTCGAAATGTCTTTTAGTAAGAGGCGGCGTGGATGTTGAGAGGCAAAGATGTTAACGATCTCATCAATGTGCACAAGCAGCAACACCATCCAGGGGTCGCCAATTTACTACCTTGGTCACGAATTTCTGCGCGCCTTACGTGACGTGTGTATAAAACGACCACTGCAGATGTTCGGTCCTACAAATGGATTGTACAACTGTCGAGCACTGGAAAAGATTTAGTGCGTGTTGATTCTTTGGATTCGCACGTTTTTGCCATCTGGATTATAGAGACATAAAACAATGATCTCACAGACGGGGGCGGGGGGGTCCATGGGCATCCCAGGACAAAACCCTAGCTACGCCCCTGAAACTCCAAAAATTATTGTCGTTCTACGCTTAAAATTTTGGGCTTTTGAATACTGTTATATAATAATCATTTTCTGTTTGTTAACAACTTGCAAAAAAAAATAAGTTTTAGTTCTATATCTGTCGGCTGTTGGATATAACTATCCACTGGAGTGTAACCTTATGTGGAAATGCTTGCTGTTGATTCATCTAAAGCTTTCTTCAGGACCTATTTGGTAGGCATACAACTTTGCACTCTTGACTTAAGGAAGATGATACCACTGATTTCAAACCAAACAAGCAGGACTTACGTTCTGAATTATTGTCAGGGTTGCAGGATGCAAAGGTGACAATACCATTGAATTCATTTATGTTCAGAAGACAAATTCTGATTGGTCAATCACTCTCAGAACCCTTAAAACAACAGAGGACAAAAAACACTTTCTGGGGGAGGTGTGGAGGACTTTGTGTAATGGGCCAAAATCCTGGCTAGTTTTGGCATAAATTAAACACTAACGGGTTAGGTAAATCAAAGATATAGTATTTGAAAAAATACAAGCCTTAAGTCTTTGTAAAATTTTCTATTCTGGTCAGGGCAATTTCGGATGTTGTGGTTAATTGCAGTTCTGTTTTAGGCTTGGCTAAATGCCTATATCACTCAGTCTGTAGCATGTAGTCCATGTTTTAGACTAAGTCTGTTTTGTGCAATCAACTTTTCAGACCTAGTTCTAAGTCTTAGATTTTCAATATTATACGGTGTTAGATTTATTCAAGGTTTTTTATTCAACCAGTTTATAGATTAGCGATGAAGCATTTTATAGATGTTGCGGTCATATCAGTGTTATTATAAAAATCTAGCTCTTTTCAGTTGGTGGAAGCAAGTCATTTATTATATTTATTAATACGGTCGTCTAATCCAGCAGCTCTCAAATAAATTACCAAGTAGCTATTTGTAAGGGACCCATACACTGACTTGTACATGTACTTCCTATTCATACTGGATTGTTCCGAAAAATACTGATTAGGGTTCAGGGCCCTGTTCCTTGAAAGATGGTTAAGTTAAACACAGCATTATGCCAAATTTTAAGCAAGGCTTCTTGTCTATCTGAACATGTCACTTAAGCATTGCATCTTTACTCAGAGATTCAGTGATGATAACCTAGAATGTTACTCTAAGCAATGCATAGGAAGTTATCAAAAATTGGAACAAAAGTTTTTATCCTGGATTAGTATTAATCAGCCTTCATGGAACCAGGCCCAGGGGCATAGCTTCTTTTATGCATATGGTAAGCACATGCATATGTGAAAAAATTCAGGGTTAAAAAATACAACTGACAAAAAAAATTTTGATAATGCAAATAAATAAAAGACAATTATTCTAGAAAGCACAAAATGGCCTCAATTTCTTTGAGATATACTTTTTCTAAAACATTGAAATGAAACGAATTTTGGTTTCAGAGAAGTGATGTCATCCATTGGTGAACCGAATCTTAAATGATATGTTTAGTAAAAAGGCAGGAAAACAGTGTTTAGGTGGCAAGATGGATGGTATAAAGCACAAACATGTTGCTTACACCTTGGTCTTTCTTCCCAGCCTACTTGATTACATCCAACTCACAATGATGACAAAACAGTTTAAAACATTCTTTAGGAAGCTTCATATACAGGAAAAATGCTTAGGCCTACAACATACTCACCTCACCTTTAATCAATGCACCTGAGAAAGATTTTGGACTTTGGAGAGGGGCGGGAGGGGGGTTGCTGAGGAATTTGGAAAATTGATTGTACCAAGCACTAAACATACTGATTAGGGATTAATTTCTCATGATTTCTGAGAATAGTGATAAAACAGTAGGGTTTATGTTAGCAGGCATAAATAAATGGTGGGCCCGATTCATACCCATTTTAGCCTTCTTAACGATGACATCGGTATCTGTAAGACTTGAAGAAATGACAGCAAGTCACCGGTTTGAATTACAGAGTGAAACCAAAGACGAACATCAACAATCACGGAAATTGAGGAAAATGATGTCTCTCTCATAGCCGTTGTAGGAAGCCGAAAAGGGTTTTTTTATTTTAAGTCACTTAACCTGAAAAAGCTTCTTCAACTAAAAAAATAAATAATCGTGGCAATATAATACAGTTACAGAAAGAAACAGCTTGCCTTCCTCCATCATGCTTGCTACTGCGTGAAAGCAGCGCAGCTAAAAGCACGCAAAACTGCTTAATTACATCTGCCGGTAAACATGAGCCGGTGACTTTCTCATTTCCTAGCCATGACCCTTGCAGGTACACATCAGTGCACATATGATGGTGATGCACAGTGCACATAATGAGAGGAAGCAGGAAACTATAGTAAAAATTTTACTAGAAAATTAAGGTATAAGTAAAAAAATAACACTCAGTCTGCACAGTCTGCAGTCTGCATGGTCTGCGTGTCAACATGACCGAATCCTCAGGGAGTATTGTATGTTTTTCCTATTCGGGAATTCTCTACAAAACGCGCAGAACATTTTGATTTCCTTTCCATCAAGCCGCAGCCATTTGCATTTATCCTTCCATGCCTCCTGGTACTTGCATGTTTTTTTGGTCAAAGCAGGTGTTTCAGATCCTTTGTTAATTTCTTTATGATATGATGATTGCTTTCCTCACATTTTCCTCCAAAGAAAGAGTACAGTGAGCCTTGCACTTGCTTCCATTTCGACATACTGGCTCATGTTTTATTTCACCAAAGGAAAATACATTCGGACTTTAGAAACCAAAAGCTGCCATCTCCTATCCCACAGTGCATTTTGTTTCACTTAAAACCCAGACTTTCATTCTGCAAGAGAATGCCTAGGGCTTTTTGCCTGTTTGTTTTTGAAACGTTTGCCTTTGGCAATTCTTTGTTTGTTTCAAGGCTTTAGCACTTTTTGGTATGATACAAAAAACAACAAAAAAGAACATGTACATTATGTATTTCTCAGAGAGTGATAACTTAATTCATCCAGAGGACTAGTGGGGAAGAAAACTACTCGTTTTCGGAATTTTTTACTCGTTTTGGACGAGTGAATGACCATTAAGTACAGGTACTGTCATGCTGCTCTAAATTTATTTTCCTTAAAACTTTAAGAGACCTAGACTTTCATGACCATTTGTTGACCAGAAATTTCAAGAGACTTTTAAGAAGATAGAATACTTTACTGCTGAAAACAGAACAAAACCAACCCATAAAATGTCGCCACAAATTTACGTCTGTGGAAAGAATCCTGTATGAATAGCAAATACAGGGCTTGCAAATTTTATTGATGAGTGGAGTCAGTGTGACTTCTGCTTCACAAATTTTGGAGTCAAGTATCACAACGAAAAAGGCCATTTTCAGACTTTCCAGTACGTGTTCCTGGCATGTTTACACTATCATGAGGGATACACGAAGTAGCTGTGGCGGTCTGCTGACCTGGAAAACTCAAATCCATGATGGTGGTCTTCGAGCAAACTTTGATCGTAATTAACCCTCTTCCTGCTTTGTCATGCAGTATAATTCTTTAATTCAATTAAGGTTTGCAACGTTTACAATTAGTGTAAATTGTACTTGTTGCAAAAAAGGTAAGGACAAAACTGTGTTTCTTACCGAAAATTTCTGTAGTCGAAGTGGCTCCCTGATTGTTAATGAAAATTTCTGGAGTCGAAGTGACTCCCTCCATAACCTCGGCAGAGTCATCTGAACAATTTTGGCATAAAATACGCCAAATTTGGCTAATTTGCGCACCCTGGCAAATACAAGTCAGTGCATGGGTCTCGCATGCATAGCCACTGGGAATTAATTATTACACTGTTCTGTTTGACCAGCCTTTCAGTCATTCACCCTCAGAAACTTCCTTCAGTCATTCGACCTCTACTGAGCAAAAACTTTTACAGTCAGTCCTGCCATCTCTTCACAATATCCGTTTGAACCTCTTGTCAACCCGTTTCTCAACCATTCAATTGCCAGTTCAGACGATAGGAACGTTTTTGAGTGAGATAGAGGTCACAGTTTTCACCAGATTTTCGTTCTTGAAACATCATACCAGACAGCCAATATGAATATATATCTCCCTGGGGAATCCTGCCTGTGGCTAGGCCACAAACTTTGATTCCGTTTAATTCCGTTCCCGAACGGTTTTGGCCAGTATACAGTAAGCTTAACTCATGAGTTAATTTGACACCAAGCAATACTCTTAAGACAGCCAACGTGGACACTGCACGACCCTCGGTTCGATCGGTTACCGTTCGTTTCGTTGGCTCAAAATATGTTTGTTGTTCACGCGCAAACTATTGAAGTGAACGAAATTTTTGTGCACTTTCACTGCTTGAGTTGGTATCGAAAGGACTTTGTATCGAAACATCCGGTTTCCGCTTGATCTCGCCAAAGGGGCACAGATATTCAGTTTCATAACAACTCTTACCTTAGGATTATTTGTAGAACAAGGTATTCGAGCTTGTGATTCTCCGACCGACCGCCATCTTAGAACTTTGCTGAGCAACCGCTCCTTTGACAACTTGCCAGGGTGTCCATCGTCTGAGCCGCGTGTAAGCAATAAACACGTGTTTGATCTCAGATGGAAAAATATTTCATCTCAGATGAAAACCTGGTGGTGTTTTATCTGCTGTCTTTTTCAGTTGCTGATTTCAATGTTTAGTTTAGTTCCCATTGCGACCATTAGACCCTTTAAAAGCCACTTCTTGCGAATTTCAGACCACTTGACGCCGACCACTTTATTCAGGGCTGCTTTTTTCGTTTTCTTATGTATGAAGTTTGTATATTTCACACCTGTGTTTAATTCTATTTCTAATTTTACTTTTGCATCCCTCTTAGTTTAGTAATCTGACTCTGGTAGCCTGAGTGCGTTCAACCGCCCTCTCCCCTAAGAAAAAAATTGGCGCTTGGCAGCCCAGTTCAAATCGCTTTTCGGCGATTCTTGTGTAAAAAACCTGCAATTTGTGTCTGGCCTAGACAATTTTGCCCTTGGTATGTCATTGATTCACATTGGTCCATGCAGATCTTAGCGATATTTAAGCAAAAGAAAACTTTTTCCGTGTTTGCACAGCCTGATATAAACACAAGAGAGGCAGGGAGACAATGAATTCGAGACGGTTTCTAGACAGTTATACAACAGTCGAGAATTCTCCCAAAACACAGAAAGAAAACGCAAAACTCCATGTTATGGCAATGATTAAAAGAGAAATTCTCACCATTCGCGAAGTCTTGCAAGCTCTTGCACACGTAATCAGTTCTTGTTTTGCAAAAAAATGCTTTCCAAATTACGGAAATTAATTAAAAATGTTAGCTTAAGCGAAAAAAAAGTTGACACAGCATGTTTGTAAACATATTCCATGTTTCAGCCGACAAGGGAGTGGGTAAATAAAGCAAACTTGTCGAGTTTTCAACTAAAAAACTTTTTCAATTACATTTTGACGTTACAACCATGTTAACATACTCTCTTGCAAACAAACCTCTAGGCCAATTAGAGCGCGCATACTATCTTATAGTATCCTATTGATGAAGCAAACAGTGAATCCAGTACATTTACTAGAAAATAACAATCCGTTTCACAAAAAGATTGTGTAGGCTCCCTGTGTCCATATCAAATCTTCCATCAATATTAAGGCTTTTTTCATACTATACCAAACAGATTTTCGCGCCCACACGAAAACCTACCCGGTTTAGTATGAATACCCGATCTGATATGTGACTCTCCACTTAAGACATCGGCGTGGCAGCGTTGCACCGTTATAGAAATTGCGCCGAAATCACCGTTCGTATGTGTGAACATGCGACGTGCAGCCGTGGCAAAAGCTATCCGCGATAGTGTGAACATAGCCTAAAATACTGGAGAAGGTGGTATACAGCTATTTCGAGAAAGGTTGTCGGAAAAATGTGTACGCGACAATTCCGAGAGGTAATATGGGATATGTTCAATACACTGTTCCTGACACTGTAGCTGTCGAACCTACTTTTGTTGCTTTCCTTTAGCACTCACAGACGTATGTCCATGGCCTCTCCTGCCATTCTATCAATTTTTTTTTGAAAAAAAGTGAACTTAAAACCACCTACAATACCTTTCGGGGTTGTCGCGTGCACTTTATCCGACAACCTTTCTCAAAATAGCTGTATACTGACTAGACAATCAATGTCTCATCTGAAGCGGAATGGCTTAATTGCTCTCTTTTACTTTCAGTATGGCTTTTGAAGTAACCGCTCTACCTTAGCAGTTACACACTTTACAATCACTGATGCCATCCAAAAAATTCTAAACATCCTGCTAAAAGTGGAAATTAAATAGACCATAAGGCTGAGTGTTTATTGATTTTTCTAAGGCAGCGAGTTCGATACTATAAGTCATGCTGGACGCCTGAAAAAACTCAAATTCAATAGAATCCATATATTATCTTTATCAGTTGAGCGTTGCTTAATAACCACACAAAAATCGCTGCGTAAAAGACTATTATACTCTCAATTCTTATTATGTTACTACTTGTGTACTGTCCTCGTTTCGCAGGGCTTTTGCCCCATTTCATAGCTTTACCGTGCTTGTTTTGACTCGTGGCTTTAAGCGTGCCAGTCCGTCTCGAATAAAGGACCGGGGGGACTTAAGAGCGAATGCACAGAAAAATCGAGCAAAATCGGCAAATCGTGGCCACAGCTCAAAACCTAACTTACCCTCATTTTCAGTCTGTAATAAGGTTTTAATGAGTTTTTAACACTGCTGAGGTTTAAATTTCAAAATGCGACCGAGTTTGGGAATTATTTGAAATTTTCCATTTCAACGGTCAGCGGGCCTAAAATTAGCCGCCGAACTCGGGAAAATAGCCCAGTGACAGAATTGAGCTGACTTTCATAAACGAGCGAATATATTGGCAATCTTCCACTTAAATCTCAAAAAGCAGATATCTAACAATTTCTGAACGGCACATTTTTAGATTTAGAGAATAGAATATCGACGAACCAGCAGAATTTTGAAACGTAATTTACATAATGCTTATAAATACAACAATTTACCGCTAAAACCAAAATCGAATTTTCTATATGGGGGAATTCTCCAAATCACCCCAAATCCCGCTTACTACCTAATGAGATATGGAACTTCAACATTATCTGAAAGTTAGTCTGGTGTTCTTGCGAACGCTTGTAAAATAGACTGATTATTTTGAGGTTATTTCGCCCCAAACAACCGCTAATTGACCCCAGGGTCAATCGACACGTGCACGTCACCTTAGTTTTATGCGTCGATTTGAGCTCGTTAAAAGGGAGAAACTAACAAGATTCTTTTAATATGTACCTGTTTTAATGAAATACACGCAATCTTCAAAAGGAGAGGCCGTTCAATAGGTAATTTCTGTTCTTGAGATCTTGTAGATTGCAGCATGGCGTCTGCGAGTGGACCTGAGTCTAGGTCTGTTTTCCCGTGGCTGCGAAATCAGAATAAACATCAAGAAATAATTCTCCCTTGAATCTTCGTAAGTGAATCAGCTTTGCAGTGCCTTACCTGAGATAAAAAGTGGGCCGAAAAGCAAACATTTCTAGCGCAATTTGGATCCTTTGTGGAACGCAGTGCATTGCAGAGTGAAAGGTGAGTAAACGTGGGAAAGTACGTTACCTTTGATTGCGTGACCAGCCAGTAAACGGTAGTCTCCAGCGAAAATAGGATTCGCAAAAATCTTGCTGATGTATATTTAACAGTTTGTTACTATAAATTTACACCTGGTTTGTCTAAAACTTTAAACAATTCATATCTGTCCAAGAGTATAACAATGTTTCGAAAGATCCACCCCTAAATAACTGTGGGCTACTCCTTTTTCCCCATCACCGATGTGCACTTCCTTCCCACTGTCTTTTGCATGAGGCTTGTATGCCTTTTTAACTGTTATCGACACTTAAAACTGGCCGTTTAAGGCCTGGTTTAAGAACTTGACTTAAAAAACCGTCGCGAACATGCGCTATTATTGTGGGACTTTGGAAGCTTTAAGCCCAAAATGATGGTGCCATCTCGAGAAATTTGCCCGGGTCTAATTATAAGACAGGGAACGGGTACTAAGAAAGGGACGGTCTCATTTAGCAACCCGTGGACAATCTGGGCATGCTTGCCTTCTGTCGCAGGGGCAACCGTTAAGGCCAGGTACGCCGCCCCCACCCGAGAGGATTGCATGGCATCCCCCATTTCAGTCGCTTTTTCTACATTATGACCTTCAATTATCATGAATTATAATGCGAGCCTTCGCACTGTTAGACCATGAGAATCTCTATTATTATTCCATAAATGCACCATTGACTTTTCCTTGCTCAGCTTCCGGTAAACCGATACTCCGAAGCAAAAATAGCTTTACAACGACTCTATCCAGGCCAGAACTCCTGATATCAACAAATATACCCCCCCCCTAAAGAGAGCAAACGTTCCCCGAACTATTCACTTGACCCACCCCATCCCTTCGTTAAGAAACACTACGCACTCAGTTCACTGGACAAAACGCGCTCGTGAATATACCAAACTATAGCCGTTCATCCTACAAGCAATCTTAGTTTCAGCAGGCGTGGCCACGTTTCCAGTTGCTGTAAGATTAATTCGACACCTGCAACAGACACTGTAAATTAAATAGCAGCCACAACGCCCTTTTTTGAAACAGTCAGGACGAGAAAGTTTATAAAAGACTTAACAGGTGTGCGCGGCGGTTTCCTATTCTTCCTTCCCTCCCATTGTATAGCACTCAAATTCTGACCCTGTTATTAATTCTAGTAGTAATCAATCGTTCCTGAACCTATAGGCACAAGGATACTAGTTTCTTGCAAAATATGCCTTCGGCCGCTGATTAGGTTTGGTTCTGTGCTTTGAAATAACTTTAGGAACGAAACATGATACGTGAGGGGAGTGTCCGGCTAAGGGCAAGTGACTCTCGGTGGTGAAGACATGTACTGAGCTTGTCAGTATTTCGTAGCCTGTACCACGTCGCGAAAATAGAACAAGCCAAAGAAAAATAAGACGCCTTTCTTTCCCCAGCCCCCGCAGGTTTTTCGCATTACTTTTTACTGCACAACTGATTCTACCTTTTCGAGCCGGAGCGAACATGGACGCCCTTGGGGTTAAGTTTCCACTTCATTTTCGGCACCTGACTAAACGCAAGCGCTGACTTGTGCGCCTATGCTTCGTTTGTACTGAAGTAGCAGTATATGACCACGACAGACTTGCTGCTATCCTTGGTTTGAAACCGCAATGGGCAAGAACAAGGCTCGAAAACAGCAAACTATTTAATTTTCCTCCTTAGTAGACATGGAGAACATTTACTAGGACTTAAGCAATTCCAATGCTTAAGTCCTACTAGACTTGAAAAGAGAAAGCATGATGCTTTCTCTTTTTAATGATTTACGGCTAAACAGTACAATTTCATGTAGCTTTTACGCAAAATTAAATACTTAGTTGTTTGCAGAATTGCATTTAACAACAAATTACAGAAATTTAACTAAGTTTAGATCTCATAGA